ATCAGGTTATTTTAAAGCTGCAGTCCGTAATTTTTCCTCTTTGTCGCCATCTCTGTTCGAAATCTGCAATTGCAGTTATTCGCAGAATTCTCAACTTTACGTGGGTTGTGCCTCGGCACGGCACAGCGTGGATGAATCCAAAGTTTTGAGGAGAATGTGCGGCTGTCAGTCACCGCGTGGTGTGGATACTGGCATTCGGAATCCCAGATTATAGGAAATATGACCAACATAAGAATTTTCACCGGAAAATATAATCTGAACAAGTAACATCTACTTTTGTTCTGACCAACTAAGGGAAAAAATGTTAATGTTGTTAATGTTAACAATGTCAGCAATGCGTGGGCCTGATTGCAGTCTCCTTTTTTCTAGCCACTCCGAAGTCTTTTGCATTTTACAATGGGTGAATCTCTAGTTGTCACTGGTGATTGTCGTTTCAACCTTTCTTAAACCGCCATCAAATTAATACGTTTAATTATATCAAGTGCTGTTAGAAAAGGCTATAAATCTCCACCTCCAACATCCTCACACGCAACATAGCCTACTAGCCGAGACTCCTTCTTCATGTGTACAGATGTGACGTAATGACGCAAAGACATGCTCGAATCTCCCGCGGAAATCCACCAGTACCACTGGAATTAAAAACATTATTACAAGCTTACAGTTTTGAATTGAGCTAAGGCAAGCAGATAGTTTTGAACACTGGCTGGTTATGTACTTGCAACATTTTTATTTTGGATAATTTTTAACCCAAAAAAGTGACGGACTGCAGCTTAAAAAAAAAAAAAAGGTGTTCATAATAACAAATATATCTTCCTCTGAAATTACTTTCCTTTTCTGCTGACGTCACTTAGGCCATGCAAGCTAACGGATCATTTCAACCAAAATACGTAGGCATTAAGTGATCTTAGTGATCTGACAATTAGTCTACAATAATATTAACCATACAAACTACAAATAATAAAACTAGAAAAAAGGTTCGGGCTGTGCCTATGTTATCATATATCAATATGCATATTATTTTTCTCATAATACTGCGTTTATATTTCAGGCCCTGTGTTGATTCATATAATTTCTTAAGGTTCAATTAATTAATGAAAAAAACTTTTTGTCTAAATAAACAAAGTCTAAATTCACATTGACTTTAATGCTGCATCAAGCTGAATCAAGCCAAAGCGGATTGTTTTCTAGTGATTTTTCTTGATCTTTGTTCTTGTATTCGCTACTTTTAATCCTGTTGTGTCCCTCTGAAGTGAGTGTCTCTCTCAGCCTCTGTTCTTCTGTTCCACTGTGATGTCTTCAGTGTGATGGATTGGGCTCAGAGAAATTAGTTCATTTTAGACCGCACTGTGAGATAGGGTGTGACTGTGATTAGTTATGGCCTCGATTTGTGTGTATATGTGTGTGATGTTGTGTTTGTTTAAGCATTTGTGTATATGATTTCGTTTGTGTGTCAGGGTGCTCTGTGAAGAAGTTGAGGTGCTGGACTGATGATTTTAAGCGGTTGTCAGGGGCAACAGCGGCTTCTAATAATAGAAGCTGAAGTAGGCATTTGTCCTAAGCGAACCTGAGGCACACCCATCCTGTCTATCTTTCATACTGTCTCTCGCTTTCTGACTCGGTCTTCGCCTTCTCTGCTATTCTGCCGCACTCACATAAACTCAGTCAAATGTTGTCATCTTCATGGGACTGCACACTTCACATCTGAAGAGTAGTTATGTATTTTATTTATATAAAAAAGGTGATAGTATGAGAATAAAATGTCCTTGATCTTTTGAAATAAAATAATTCATGGTACTATGAAAATACTGTGTAAATCATAAATACATGATATTATGTTTCAGAACTCAGAACCATCCTCAATTAAAAAAAAAGACCACATTATTATAATTATTATTATTTATAATTATTATTTAATATATCATATACTTAAAAAAAATATTTGTACATTTTATGTTTGAATAATAATAATAATAATTGTTATTAATAATAAATTCATAAATTAAAATGTAAAACAAATTAATAATAATTATTATTATTGTTAGTTAAGTAGTAGTACACAGCTGGTCACATGAAGTCCACATTGTGGCCTCCATATGTGGGACAACCTACTTCATGTAGAATAAAACAGCTTTTTCTAGGCCACTGTAATGTCTGGAGTCTGAATCATGTGTCAGTGGACATAAATATATACTGTATATATAACCGTTCAAAAGTTTGGGGTCAGTAAGCTGTAGATAGCTGCCCGAGAGGCATTTCAAAGATGGCCGCTGAGTGAAATGATTATTGCTTCAAAGGGACTTTGCCTGTACACAATGCCGTTTGCTTCGGGGTTTGGGCGGAACTGACTGACCGGCAGTTTCTCTCAGTTTTTCCCCTCTGTTTGGCCTAATGTGTTTGTGGTCATGCGCTGGATCCTTCACTGGAAACCAAAAGTAACTCATACCAGCTTAACATTTTCTCTTTGAATATACTTGCATCCAGGAACAATACAAGTCGACACCATTATGATTCAGAGTTTGCCAAGAAGTATTTCCTACTAAAGAAAAGTGGTATTTGACTCAGATAAGCGTATCCATAACAGACTCGCGGGCGTGGCCTTGGCAACTTGTCAAGTGCATTATGGGTGTTGAAGTTTTCCTAAATTTTTAACGAAAGGAAAGAGACCAGCCTTTTTTCTCTGTTTTCTCTAGTCAGGTGACAACGGTTTAAACAAATATTTTTACATTCTACTGTATAGGCAACCAAATTTTATTGAAAGCCCATTTTGCCAGCAAGTACCCCTTTAATCCCAACAGAAGAACTAACAATAGGTGTAAAAAATGGGTAAACTTGCATGTATCATCTGTCTGTCCTGAAGGATCCTGAAGTTAGAAAAGAGCACCTGTAATTGTTAACAAAATCACAGTAAACTAGTAGCATTTACAGTTTTCACTTTAAGGTCATGCATGCATGCAGTAGGCTACATCATCTCAAAATGTTTTCCCCTCAAAGGCATGTTAAGAAGTGATTGCATAGAGATGCTTAAGTCACAATATAATAAATAATATGAGAATAATTTTAACCAAATCTTTGCAGTACAGATGAGTCTGGAGAAGGACCTACCTGCACCCCTTAGTAGGGCAGCTGAAACATCTTAAGTGTTTTTATAACATCACACATATGGATCATCTCAGAATACTAATTGATCCAAATTATCTTCATTTTGATTCCTCACTGCTTTTTCTTTGTGTTTACTGAAAAGATTTGCATATTCCATTGGTTAATATTGACAGGATCAAATTTTACTGCATTGCAGCAAACAACTTGAACTTGCTAAGAATAGAAACATGACTGTTACTATCCTAACACAAGAACATATATCCTGTTCTATTGCACTATTCAAATGCTTACAAAAAAAGAAAATTGAAGAAATTGCTTTAATTAAAAAAAGAATGTATTGACAGAATTTTATCAGTTTGTGTTATATGTTTACACAGTTTGTATCTGAAAACTGTTGGACTTTACTTTTAATTGCACGTGGCATTCAGCACTGATTTCATGGTTTTCAACTAACCTGGGTGACGCTGTGTTTTGGTCACAGCAGTAATGACAAATTGGACAGGTACAAGGTAAAAAGTGAATTTCACAATTGTTTCTAAATCTCCACTGTACGATTATTTGATGTGATATAATATGATAGGTCTGATTATTAGATATGATATGCTCTGTCAGAGATTTACTGAGAAGTATTCATTCCGGTGAATGAAGCTAGTTAAATTATTGGGCTTTTTTACAGCATCTCAGTGTTGGTTTTTACAGCTGGTTTTTAAAGCCAAGGTTTTCTGCCAGAATAACAGATGCTGTGATTGTTTTATAGGGGTTTGTAAGTGTCTCTGAGAAGCAGAGTGATTCCACTCTGTCTGTTTAACATTCACTCTCACTTATCATGTTGATTTAATGGGATCTCAACTTAATTTGTTACATCTCTTATTCAACTGAGAAACGTGGTGACGTGGGGATGGAGTTAAAGCAGAAGCCTCATTGAAAATGTGACTGCGTTTTACAGTCTAACCTTTGAATTTACAGTTAGTCCCAACACATTTGGGTTCTTAAGAGACCTTTTCATTTTCACAGCAACCTAAATGAAGTGCACAGTCATGTAAGTGGCAATTACTGAGAGCAGACTAGTGTTTGAAATATGGATGTACTGTTGGAACGGGATCTCATTTGGTTCCATTTTAAGTTAGTGATTTCACTGACTTGATTAACTCGACCTCAAAGCAACTTTATTTTCCTTATATTGTGGAGAATGAAGCACACATTTGTTATAATTTTGTTGTTTTGTCTGCAAAGGAGAGCTTGTCATCTTAGATGATTCTTTGTGTTTTTACACATCTGGAGGCTATCTGACCTTCAGCTGAGAAAAGGACTTTGCTTAGAAGGCAAGCTCAGCCTCGAGGTGGTTGACATACTCTTTGTTATGTCAGAGAGGGATGAAGATGTAGGTCCTGAGATTACAGATGTAGACAGAAAAGGAAATGAGATAAATAGCAGTGGGATATATATGTAGTATGTGTCTGTGACATATTTTCTTTGAGTGTTAGTGGGGCGTTTGCATATGCTAAAAGGCATGCATGTTTTCGCCGTTGAAACCACTGAGAACACTATTTTAATGTAGTGTGCATTGTTGTTTTTTTATGTATATTATACATTTGCACGTTTTGAGACTAAAGTTGCACTTAAAATTTAATAAAAATGAATTTCATGTATTCCTTTCATCTAGATGGCATGAGACTTTGTGACTTTTCCTACTCTATACTTGATACTTCAGTCCAATAAAATTGGTTTTATAATAAATCCAAACCAAAAGCAAAAACAAAAAACAAAAAAAAACATGAGAGGAACTATAAAAGGAAGTGAAAATGGCAAATGAGCTCATGACTGGTCCTCTGCAGCCATCTACTGATTATATTGGTAATTTCATGTCATTTTAAAAGTTTTTTTTGTTTTCCAGCAGGTGACAGAAATCCTCCACTAAACCATGACACATTTTCCATGTATTTCCATGGATAAAAATGAGAAATGTATATCTTTTTAAAAGTTAATTTTACTGAGTTAAAAAATATATATTTTTATATATATATTAAAAAATATTTTACCCACATATTGCCAATCTAGACAATTACAGTAAAATATGGTTTGTCTATATTCTTAATGATTCATAAGGAATATTAGCTGTTTATTTATAATGGGATTTTGTTTTATACCCTCATCATACCCCCAACTGGTCTCAGGTTGATTTGTAGTGGATGTGAAGTCAGTTCTCCTCAAGATCACAAAGGTGTCATGGCAAAGTAACAATAGGTGAAGTTTATCACATAAATAACTATGGACATGATGATGTGCCTTTCAAGTGGAGTCAGAAATATTGTAATTACAAATTCAGAGCACATTAATGACTGAGCTAAGTCATATTTATGATTGGAAAACTCAGAAATCTCTATGATACATGAGTTGCAGAGTGTTGAGACGTTGGATGGAGCATAATATACAGTAAATAACATTGTATAATATATCTATAATATATTATATATTATATATAATATATTATTTATATTGTATCTATTTATAGTTATCTTAAATATATATTTTATATAGAGATCAGTGAGCACTTAGCAGAAAGCAAGGCTATAGTGAATTTATAGTGAAATCATTGCTAAGCAATGCTATTTCTCCATTATGTTTCTGACTTTTTTTGTAATAATGAATGCCCGATTTGGAGGGACGAGTTTTCCGGGGGCACTTGAAGGCATTTGACAATCAGAAAGAGTCCATATATTTTTGGTCTTCATTTTGAACTGTAAATTTATAATTTATTTTTGTGTGTTTTTCAGGACTATACCATCACCATGTATTTCCAGCAGTCCTGGCGCGATAAGCGTCTGTCCTACACTGGGATCCCTCTAAATCTTACTTTGGATAACCGAGTGGCTGATCAACTCTGGGTGCCTGATACTTACTTCATAAATGACAAGAAATCTTTTGTTCATGGGGTCACTGTGAAGAACCGCATGATTCGTCTACATCCTGATGGGACTGTGCTCTACGGCCTCAGGTCAGAGAGTTTGTGTGTGTGCAGTTTTTTAAAGTATTTTTTTGTTTTACTTTTTCTCTCTCTCATGCATTAGATTAATGTTTGATTCTTTTGTGTGCGTGCATCTATACATTTATCTCTGTCTGCATGTGTATGCTGTATTTTTGGCTGACCCTATTCCCCTGGCTGTCCTGATGTTGCTTTTTTTTAGAATTTAAAGCCCAGTGAGAGATGCGTCTCCTGTCTCAGTCAGGGAATATAGGTTCTGTTAATCAAAGAAAGATGAGGCTGTCCCTGTCCTGGTTGAACCAGGTTACCGGTACTTGTTAGCATTCACTAATTAGCAAGAGCACAATCCATATCTGGACCCCGGAATGGTTTCATCCAGACATTATTATTATAACATGTAAAGAGAACAAAAAAATGTAAGTCATGAGTACATTATGTACACTCCCCTTCAAATCTTTGGGGGTTTTAATGTTTTAAAAAATTTAGAAATATACAGTAAAATCAACATTTCAGTAATATTATGACATATTACAATTTAAAATAATTTATCTATTTGAATATATTTTAAAAATATAATTTATATCTGTGATGACAAAGCTGAATTTTCAGCATCATTACTCCAGTCTTCAGTGTCACATGATCCTTCAGAATAGTCGGACCTGCTGCTCAGGACATTTCTTATTATTATCAATGTTAAAAGCAGTTTAACTGCTTAATATTTTTGTGGAAAAATATTTTTTTCAGGATTCTTTGATGAATAGAGAGTGCAGTACATTATAAATGACTTAACTGTCACTTTTAATCAATTTAATGCATCTATGGTGAATAAAAGTTTTAATTTCCTTCCAAAAAATAAATGTAATTGACATTAAACTTTTTAAAAATCTTTTTTATGTTTTAAACACAAAATACATTTGGTTAGATTTATGCTAAAAATAAGACAACAAACTATATAACGAAAATAAACAATCCTTAGTATCCTATTAAGATTAGCTTATATTATTGTCACTGTAAACAAAAACAAAACAAAAAAAGTGTTTTAGGAAAATTCTGGCATGACTCACTAGAAGAGAAATAACGTTCAGTAGTCATTGTTAAAGGGATAGTTCACCCAAAAATGAAAAATAAATTAATTTGCTCACAATCGAGTTGTTCCAAACATGTATGCATTTCTGTCTTCTGCTGAACACAAAAGAAGATATTTTGAAGAAAGTTGGTAACGAAACAGATTTGGTTACCCATATTCTACGAAATATCTTCTTTTGTGTTCAGCAGAAGACATACATTCTTACAAGTTTGGAATAACTTGAGGGTGAGTAAACAATGACAGAATTTTCATTTTTTGGGTGAACTATCTCTTTAAATCTACCAAAACTTAAAAGGAAAATGATGATTAATAAAAGTCAAGATTAATGTCTTTCTGCAGAGGAAAAGCTGCAGTCCTACACTTCTTTCCCTACATAGTGTAGAGTTTGATTTGCAGCTTTGTCTGGCCGATATTCCCTCTCTCTCCATCTTGCTCAATACTGTATAATTCATATCTAATGTACTATGCCTGAGAGGTATGAACATGTGCTGCTCTACATCGGTGTGCACCTATTAGTGTGTGTCTATAAATATATGTGATCACTGATTAGATAACTATCTCTCTGCCAGAAAAACAATACGGAGTAATAAGGTGTTTTTGTGGGGGTGGATGTACCTGTTCGTGTATACAGTGTGTTTGTGTTTCATTTGTCAGGAAAAAGTGCTTTATACTCTTTCAGGGCTGCAGAACGAAGAAGCAATTCCATAAGTTGTCAAAAAGTGCAGCAGTCACGCACTGAAAGGCCATCACGTGTGTGTTTCCGTGTTAATTCAAGCTCAACTTAATTAAGATCCAGCCAGAGGCATTTCAGAGAGGGGCTCCACGCTGCAGACATGACTGAGACAGCGTTAAGGCAATTACACAGGAGAGGAATAAAGAGGGATGAAACACGAGAGTGATATAAGGAACGCAGTGTGCCTGCAGTGTTGTTTTACCAGCAGCTTGTGGGAGAACCTTTAAAATGACACGTGAATGAGCTTATATTAATGTGTATTACCTTCCAATTACTTGCTACATTTCACTTAATGGCGGTTGATAGGGAGATGATTACTTTTGTTTTGTGATATGAAGTAGTACACGTGTGCTTGTCAAATTATTATTAGTTCAGCATGAATTAAAGCTTTCCGATATATATACATCTCATTACAGGTGGAAGTAGGTGGCTGTAACAACATCTGCTCTTAAATGTTTCACTTACTTCTTCTGACACTGGACAATTTTTCTAAATTAATATAAGTATGTTTGATCATGATCAGTCAAACTCAAAAGCAAACTTGCTATTACTGTAGACATACTAAACAACTGGTCAATTGTGATAGTATCGTGTTGTTGTTTTTCACCTCATATCTGTAGGATAACTACCACAGCTGCTTGTATGATGGATTTGCGCAGATACCCGCTGGATGAGCAGAACTGCACGCTGGAGATTGAAAGTTGTAAGTGCTGTTCACGGTTTAACCGTTAGCATTCATGACTAGCACGCTGAATAGATAGGTTAATTGCATATCCACAATTAAGCATGTATATGAGTATTAGCTGAGAAAAGAAAACCCTAAAGTCATTATAGTATCATTAAATGGACCAAAAGTGGTTTTGAATCAATATTTTGTTTATTTTAGTTTTCTTATCATTAAACACAAGACTATCACTGGCCTATAGTTCACAGCCATTCATTTTACAGTCGAGTTTGTTAAACTAGTGTCCAGGGGTGCGTTTACCATAAGCAAAGTTTTCTCAAGTTCAGTCATTACCAATATAGTTCAACAATTTAACATTTCCCCAAACCATAGTTCCAACGATCATTTACAAACAGCATCGCAAAGTCGTGTGGTTGGAACTACAGTTCTTGACCTGTGGAATCATAGTTTCAATTTAGTATGACATGTGGACTTAAATAGATCATGCTCTTAATCACAATCATCTCATATATGCAAATTTCACTCTATGTATTTTAGTTTGTCAGAAGAATGAAAGCGCTATTTTTGAAGAGTGAATTGGGCGAATGTGGTCTAGAACCCCAGGGAAGTCAAGTCAAGTCAAATATATTTATATAGCGCTTTTCACAATACAGATTGTATCAAAGCTGCTTCACAGTATCAATCAAAACAACTTAACAGTGTTTGTTTATTACTGGAAAAAGACATCCAAGTTTGGTAGAGCTGATCAGTGGTATGATGGGTCATTTAATTTGAATATCCCCAACTGAGCAAGCCAAAGTTGTATTTATTTATTTACAAATAATAACTGCCAGTAACTGTAAGATAAAACATTTATATGAATGCCTGGCTTAATAGAGGCGTCTTTAGTCTGGTTTTAAACTGGGAGAACGAGTCTGAGCAACGAACAATATCAGGAAGGCTATTCCAGAGCTTTGGAGCTAAATGTGAAAATGCTCTCCCTCCTTTGGTGGATCTGGATATCCTAGGAATGACCAGAAGCCTCGAATTTAGTGATCTTAAAGAGCGCGATGGATTATAGGGCGATAGAAGATCCGTTAAATAGGAAGTCTGGAGTATGACGTAAGAGGGAACCTGCGATTGAATCAAACATCTGGAATTAAAGCAAAGCAACAAAGAACAAAAATAGCGAAGTAGTCCTCTGATGCCATGTTCAGTATTTACAGCAATTAATGAGAGTTCTATGTTGTTGAACAAATGTGGTTTGAACTAAGAGACGTGCTGTGCTGCAACAAAGTTACTATGGTTTCAGGAAAAAGTTGTGACTGGCTACTGTAGTTAAGTTCTACAACACCAAATTCTACTATGGTAGTTAAAGGAACACTTCGACTTTTTGGAACTTTAGCTTATTCAACGTATCCCCCAGAATTAGATAAGTCCATACATACCTTTTTCATCTCTGTGCGTGCTGTGCTGTAAGTCTGTTTGACGCACCCACCACTAGCCTAGCTTAGCACAAAGACTGGATGTAAATGGATACAGCTAGCATACTAATCCCAATAAGTGACAAAATAACGCCAACATTTTCCTATTTACATGTTGTGATTTGTATAGTCACTGTGTGTACAAATAACAATGTAATATGAGACACAGCCACTTTTTAAACGTTTAAATACTGGGAACTATTTTCTTAGAAGGCGAACCCCTGCTACTTGGGCGGAGTGATTACCGCAGCACCCGAGAAGCGCCGTTCTGTCAACAAAACCAACGTGACTAACTAGCTAGTAGCGAACGTGAACCTACAGACAGTAGCCTACTATTTCACAAACAAGGTCACTGTTTCTCAAAAATGAACACTGCCCATCCCCCCCTCCAATTCATTAGCAAGTAGAAGGCTACAGTCCTGAAAGTTACCTTTAGCGCTGCTTATTTGTTACTGGGGCGATAGAGCGTGTTTGTGACAACACAATACTAACATTAGTGGGGTTACATGGAGCCCGGTAACAACTGTAATAGTAGTGTGCACCCTATTCATGTAATAGTGTCACTAAGATTACATTACATCTAGCTAATGGCACTGTAACAGTAGGCTAGTCATCTAAAAACATAACGGAACACTTACCGCGGCCGCAGGTGATCCACTTTGTCCTGAATTTACTATCGATGGGATGGCCGTATCCTTTAGCACACGTTTCATGGTCCGTGTGGCAAATTGCATTTTTTCAAAATAGTCGTCCTCAGTGAAATGTTCTGAGCAAACGAAATAGTCCTTGATGATGTCTACAGGTGTGTTTGGATCGACAGAGCAAGTAGCCAATGATTCATCAGATCAGCGTTTTTGATTGGAATTCTATGAAACATCATGGTATTACCTGGTCTCCCCTGTTTATTGTCGCAGCTCTTCACAATACAGTGAACACCCATGATTGTAAACTTTGCATTTATTAGTAATTGCTGACTCTATTAGTCCAACTCTGAGCGAACTCTCTGCTCCTCAGCACTGCGCGTCTCAGGTGCTGCGGTTATCACTCCACCCAAGTAGCAGTGCTACAGTAGCAGCCTTCTGAGAAAATAGTTCCCAGTATTTAAACGTTTAAAAAGTGGCTGTGTCTCATATTACCTTGTTATTTGTACACACTGTGACTATACAAATCACAACATGTAAATAGGAAAATGTTGGCGTTATTTTGTCACTTATTGGGATTAGTATGCTAGTTGTATCCATTTACATCCAGTCTTTGTGCTAAGCTAGGCTAGCGGTGGGTGCGTCAAACAGACTTACAGCACGCACAGAGATGAAAAAGGTATGTATGGACTTATCTAACTCTGGGGGATACGTAGAATAAGCTAAAGTCCCAAAAAGTCGAAGTGTTCCTTTAAGCAGCGATTTACGCTGTTGTACTGAAACGCACCCCATGGTAGACAGTTCACACTGGACACGTTCTTGTATTCTGTCTGTTTTTTTTATTTATTATGTACATATGCAGAGTGGCTTTTCCATCACGTACTCTTCAGCATCTTGTACCATGATTGTCACAATATTAAGACATCTAGTCAAGACACGTCTTGAGCATTGAGCATGTCTCCAACATTCTGTTACATGTGTTTCATCTCACTGTTTTTTAACTCAAGATCACGTCCTTTGTGAATGGCTTCACATGTGAGGAGGTAAAGGAAGGTAGTAATTCCAAGTTGTATTTCTCCTCAGGTAGGAAAATGGGTCAGGGGGCATGATTAATTTTGTTAATTTTCTTTTCACACCATTCTGTTTAATTAATACCATTAAATTAATATAAAACATTGACAGCTCTAAAAATACATAGAGCGAAGGTAAATGCAAAAAGTCCACATTTTCAATGAAAGCTTTAAATAAAGATGCATGAATTTCTTGCAGCAATGCAGCAAAAACTGGCACAATCTGTTGCATAATCCTAATGCATGCATTCATGCATCATTATTCATTTATCAAGAAAAATACCTGCAGAGAATCTGGCTGTGCTGACCAATCTCTCTGTTTCATCTTTCTCAGTCTCTGCAGTCTCTTACTCTCTGTCACTCTTTCCTTTTGCTCTCTTTCATCTCCTCCCCTCATCTCTTTTGCACTTTGCCTCTCTCGGTGTGACAGACATTGTTTGTAATTGGGTGTCTGCTTTGTTGGGCAGACAGCTGTATTCCTCTGAGGCTGCTGTCATGTCAGAGCTCTGAGATGCATATCACAGCAGGAAGGAGAAACCTCAACACCAACATCACAGCAGACATAATAAACCATGTCGCTTTCACACGGCAGACAAGATCACTTACTGTAATAAGAGACAAAAAGACTTTCCACAAATAAGTTAATAGTAGTTAATAGTTCACCCAAAAATGAAAATTGTGTCATCACTCACCCTCAAACCTGTATGTTCTTTTGAATTTTGAAGATTGTTGGTAGCCAAACAATTTTGGAGACCATTGACTTCCATAATGGCCAAGGGAAAAAAAAGAAAGAAAAAAAACACTCAAAATATCTAGTTTTGGAATATATTTCATTCATATTTCATATGAACCATCCCTTTACGCACATGTCATGGAATAAAGTCTCGTTTATTCTTTTTTGTCAAAAGGTCAGTAAACATTTGCATTCAATTTGTTATGGAGCCTTTCATTTGGATGCTATTCATTTTATATGAATTTGGCCATTTTTTTACAAACCAAAATTTTATGTCACACAGTTTGCTTTTAATAAACTCGGATGCTTTGACCTTTCATTGACTCTTTTTTTCCGAAAATCACATAACAGGGTTTAATACAAAATGGGACAGCTAAATATTTTTTATTGACTCAATATTTAAAAGATATGAACCACAATAATTTAATCTCAATTTAGGAGATTTTTTTTTTAATTGGTACTGTCAATACAGTGGAAGAGGAACAGGTTACAGGCCAAAAACATTTTGGAACAGTCATGGGACACCAGAGTGTACACTTTTTGTAGAAAGCAGCACCAATTAATCCAACGTTAAAGACTCGGACATTAAAGAGAAGGGGACCGGGAAGAGTAGACCTTCATGAGGATTATCGCTGTGCTTCAGTCACTCAGGAGTATAGGCTGATGTTTCTTTTGATTGGACTTAATGAAGAACAGGAAGAATTGACTATCGTAATACTTTATCTTTTAATGAAGCTTTTAATGTTCTACAGTACTGTGCTCTCCTGGAGATAAGCGCACAGAGTCTGCAGGGACAATCTTTAACAGCTAGACCTGGACCCGGACCTCTCACAGAAGTGTTCTCACTGCATTCACATGCTGATTTACCCCACTGACAATATAGACTTTGGGAATGTGAGAGAGGCAGCTTTCCCTTGAGCCAGCATGCTGTTTTGTGGATATATGTGTATTTCTGAATGTTTCTGTCCCTCTTTTGTTTCTCAGATGGCTACACTACAGATGACATTGAGTTCTACTGGCAAGGAGGAAGTTCAGTGACGGGGGTGGACAACATTGAGCTGCCGCAATTCTCTATTATTGATTATAAAACACTGTCTAAGAAAGCTGTGTTTGCCACAGGTACAGTGCGCTCCCTGCATGAGATGAGTCAGCCCCCCTCAGTACTATATGCCAAGATTCTTTCAGTTCACTTCAGTTAAAAAATTATTCATTAAAATAGTTGTATATTTGTAAGCACAGAAATTTGAAAGTGGTATGCGTGTTGTTTGTGTACAAAATTATGCAGTTCGCTGCTACATAATGTCTGGTCCAGTTTGCAGCTTATTTTCGTCAAGACCCGCCCACTTAGATGGGAATCTATCTGACTGACATATTAAAAGACCAACCACAGTTTGTTTTAGTAAATCTGAAACATGATACCATATTAATAGACCGGTGCAGAAAAAGCTCATTCGAAATATGGTGTAACAGTCTCCTCAGTTTGTTAACAAATGCATGCATATACACGACTATTCAAAAGTTTGGGTTCAGTAAAAAAAAAATACTTTTGAAAGAAATTAATACTTTTATTGACACTGAAGTAAGTATTGGCTGTAATGAGTAATGGCTGCTGAAAACTCAGCTTTGCCATCACATTAATACATTACATTTTAAAATCTATTAAAATAGAAAAAAGTTATTTTAAATTGTAATAATAATCAACTTTATTTTATATAACGCCTTTAAAGCAGCTTCTCAAGGCACTTTACACAATAAAAATACAAAGAGAGAGGGGGAAAAAATACACAAATACAAAGCGTACAAAGAACACAAAATAATTAAAACCATCAAGAAAATGCTAACCTTTTAGGTTTTAGGTTGGATTTAAAAATGCTTAGATTTTGTGCATCTTTAATATGAGAAGGAAGTGTGAAAGCACTGTCCCATATAGATAGTAAACGTGTCCGTGTCTAATGTCACAATATTATTGTTTTTACTGAATTTTTGGTCACATAAATGCAGCCTTATTGTGCATATGAGGCTTCTTTCAAAAACATTTAAAAAAATCTTACCAACCCCAAACTTTTGAATGAATTATTACTGTGTGATTAAATGACTGAACTGTGTGTGTCCAGAACAGGATTAAGCACTAAAAGGTGAAATGACAACCAAATCTAGCTGCAGTGTTTAAGTGGCCGTGTACCTCACTGACACAAAACACTTTAATTTCTCACTTTCAGGGTCGTATCCTCGTCTGTCTCTCAGTTTTAAACTGAAGAGAAACATTGGATATTTCATCCTGCAGACCTACATGCCTTCAACACTGATCACCATCCTGTCCTGGGTCTCCTTCTGGATCAACTATGATGCTTCAGCTGCAAGAGTTGCACTAGGTGTGTGTGTGTGTGTGTGTGTGTACACCTAGTACTTCACACCAACTAAAGACATACATTTATTGCACTTTTTCTACACCCACCTTTTCCCATTTCTTAAATTTACAATACATGTCAACCAGTTTCTAAACAAGCTTTTTTAAACATTGTAAAATTGACTCGTTTTAGGAATCACCACCGTTCTGACTATGACTACAATCAACACTCATCTTAGGGAGACTTTACCTAAGATCCCTTATGTGAAGGCCATAGATATCTATCTGATGGGCTGCTTTGTCTTTGTGTTCCTGGCCTTGCTCGAGTATGCTTTCGTCAACTACATATTCTTCGGCCGTGGTCCACATTTACGGAAGAAAGTGGCAGAAAAAGCTGCAAAAAGCAACAATGAGAAGAGTAACAAAGTTCAGGTGGGTTTTTGACCAGCTCTTATGTTTACACTAAGTAATTTTTTTTTGATTAATACAGTAGAGGTGTTGGACTTCATACTGTCTCCTATTATTATATGTAGATTACCTTCATCAAACATTAACAAGTTAATTTTTAAAAACACTAATTTAATAACACTGTTAAATGTAATCTTTAGAAAATCTGATATTTTTTCGTACATTATAATGTGGTCATGCCTTAATGTACTTTTAGCATTTGGATTTTAGTTTTTAGTGTTTTAGTTTAAATTCAATTTCGGCATCATAACATTGGCCAAAACTTGAAAATATTAATTGTCTTGGCAGCATTGGCCAGAATTTTAATATTGATACATCTCTAAATTCTAAATCACTTTTATTTACTAAAATTCAGTTTTATTTATTCCTTCTTTTATATTAATAAAGGTTGATGTCCATGGACACATTCCCCTGACAAACCTTGATCTGCGCCTTAGTGGGGCAGAGATGTTAGGTGCTCTTGGGGACCCGAGGAACACCATGTTCTCTTATGATAGTGCCAGCATCCAATACCGTAAGCCCCTTACAAGTCGGGACCTCTATGGACGGCCCACTGCCTCTATCGAGAGGCCAATGGCACGAAAAAAGAGTCATCTTAGGAGGCGAGCCGCTCAGCTGAAGGTGAAGATTCCAGACCTGACAGATGTAAACTCCATTGACAAGTGGTCACGTGTCATTTTTCCAATCACCTACACCTTCTTTAACTTAGTATACTGGCTGTATTATGTCCACTAAGGAGCAGCACTGACTCAACCCAGCCATACACACATCAGGTCAGGCTCTCTTACCCTCCTTGTGGTTTTGACTGCCAGTCAGACAGGAGGAAGAGGTGCATTCTGTAGTTAGCCCTTCTCTGTAAATTATTAAACTATATATAATATAAATCTGTATTATAATTTTTCAATAAGAAAATAAGTCAAAATGACTACTCAACTTTTGCTGCTTAATGTAGATTATCATAAATATTAGTTAAAATTGTCGCTGTATTTTTGCACTTTGCTTCTGTGGGATCAATTTCACTGACTTGCAGAAAGTGCAACTACGCAATGGGGAGAAAATAGGCTTTTCTTAGCTGACGACTGTAGTGCACATCTACTGTAGGTCAGACAGGCTTGAGTTTGTAAAACAGCATTTGAAAGTTGTTTTCATCATTTATCTTTCATATTATGAAGCTCTTAAAAGGATGTTCTGGGTTTTTTACAAGCTCTGACATTTGTAGCATAAATTTCATTACAACAGAAATTTATTTTGACCTGTCCCTCAGTTTTCTTATAAATAATTGGAATAAATAATTTTCAAATAAAGCTCTTAATTTCAAATTACTTTTATTTGTAGATATTATTAAAGCTGACCCCTTTGTTTTACAAAAAAGTTGACTTATTTATTTAAGAAAACCAATTGTTATTCAGTTATTTGTGTCTGAGGTCAATATGACCCAAGCTAAAGATTAAGAGGAATAGTAAAAGTTGTGTCAACCTAAGTGTCGACCTAATTCTGTTCAATATCTGTGGTATTAGTTTGTGGTTACAGTAAGATACTTACAATAGAAGTATACAGGCCAGGCAATTGAAATAACCACATAACATGAAACGCTATGGAACTTTACACCAGTTCCCATAATGTAATGGTTGAGCACTGCTTACATGGGCCAAACGGAATTAATGTGCACTATAATTTACTTATTATAAGTTAATTCACCTAAAAAAGTAGTTCCTTCAAAAAATGACATTTTATAGTTGGCCGAAGGAGCTTAACTTGAATTAAAACCTGGAACATTTCTTTAAAACAAGACTATATTGTTCAAGTTTGTTGATGAAAGCCTAAGACGCATCACATACTGTAGATTAAACCTGTTCTTCTTATTAAGACTTCACTACCAAGAAATGGCCTCATCATTTGGGTTACAGTATTTATATTGCTTGGTTAAGACTAAAACTCAAAAAAAAAAAATATTGTCTGCAGCTCTGGTGTGTCTATATGTGGCCTAACACACTTTTTGTTCTCTATAATCAAATGTAGTTAATCTGCCAAGAATGGATGTCCTTGCATCAATATGACAACACATGATGACAAGCAGGATGTTCAGGAGTTCAAAGTCTGGACAGTATGTAAATTTGTACATTAAAACATATCAGGTATCGGAAGATCTATGATGTCATCAAGTTTTTCTATACTTTTTCTTATAAGCCAATTAATCCTGCATATTTTATTCAAAGCAGTAGTTGAATTTTCACCCCACTTTATATTAAGTGTCTAACTACTGTATAGTGTGTACTAACATTTATATTAATAATTTCATACAATGCACTTACACTATACGTATATTTAAAAATACCCTCATGAAATTACAGCTGTAATTCATTTCTCTAATTACTCTGTTGTTGACCCTTCTCTTACATCTTAAGTGAAGTGAAGTGACCAAGTATGGTAACCCTCTTTGTCTATTTGTCCTCTGTATTGATTTAACCCATCCAAGTTAGTGCACACACATTAGAGGTAGTGAGTAGTGAACACTGGGCAGTGGTTTGCTGTGGTGCCCGGGGAGCAATTGTGGGTATTGAGGGTGGAAGAGAATGCTCTTCTTTCAGTCCCCCCATCTACATTTTCCTGCCGGTATTGAGAATTGAACCCGCAACCTTGGGGTTACAAGTCAGACTCTCTAACCATTAGGCCACAAATGCTCCATTAAACCTAAATAAACTTACCCATGCTGCCCTATAAACCTACCCATACCACCAAACCACCATGCTCAATAGCAGCAAAAGTGTGTTGGGTATCACTTTATTTTACTGTGTTCTTGTTACACGTTACATGTAATTACTATAGTAATTACATGCAACTAACACTTATCTCTCAACATGAACACAATAAGTGCATTGTACCTAATAGATAGATATAGATGTAGGTACATAGTAGTTAAAGACACCTAATATAAAAAGTGACAGTTTAATACTGTAAAGCCCAATAAAATCCAGACTTGATTCATTAGCAAGAGGTTATATATAGCTTAATTATGTTAGTTCCTATTGCTCAATAATTGACTCAGTACTCCTAACGCTATTGCAATCGAAATGTAGCTATGACTTTAAATATAGCCATTGTTTTAGGGATGTAGTTCTAACTATTTATATAGTAAGTGACTTCACTGTAGTTACCTTTCAAATTTGTATTTAGCTTTAAACATATTCACTGCGAGTTATATATTATCCAAGCTCACCAAAATGTCAGATAGGACTTAACAAATTAGATTTTTCCTCTTTATGGCTGAACTTGTGCCTTTAAAAAACAAAAACAAAAAAACAAAACAAAAAACACATTTTACAGGGTTTACCATTCACTAGCTTAGTTTAAATTTTCTGAATGGATTTCCACTTTTCTATAGAACAAAGATTACTCAAGGGTACCACACATAATCAAAATGAAAGGTACTTTCAAGGGCTTTTCCAATGCCCTGCATTTATATATGTAATATTATAAATATATGAATATATATATGGCATGTAAATAAATTGCTTGCATTGCAACACTCTTTTTAGTGTCAATCTGACTGGGACATAAACAGCTCAGTAATTGTCCAGGAGTGACCTAACTCCATTAAAGATTCTCATTTAAAGCTAATTAAAGAGATCTCAAGAGTGGCAGAACAAAAACGAAGCTCACACACGGTCCAGCCAGAATCAGCATGAAGACACAAACACGTAAAACACATAGAAGTGAAAACATATTTAATATAGGGGTCTGATAGGCCATATATCACTCATACAACGGCAAATGCCAAAAAAAAAAAAAAAATTAAACAGTATCCTATATCCCTGTATGATTTCTGTAATTGCACTCATGCTAATGGCCGGTGCAATCTTGTGCAGATGCGGAGTGTGTTGAAGGAGAATGCATTGTCACTGATTGAGACTGATAAGATGATTGTATTTGAGTGTATGTTTGTATTTAAGCCTAGCAACCACAGTTGTACTTAAGGATACTTTATTTTAAATCGTAGACATTTTGAATGAATTCAAATAAAATATCCCACTAAGCAAAATGTGAAGAGCTGATTATTGCATTGTCGTTGCATTAACACAGGACATAGGTGTTCTTTTGTGAACCGGGAGGTCTATGAATCATGATGGACACTGAATTAACTGTGGATTGGATTAAAAAAAAGGGTTAATTGTTCTGACAAACCATGTCTGGGGGGTTTCTGCCTTTTATCATTTGATCTGCCTATTATTATGTTGACTCGCATAGACAAAAAAGGAACAACTCTCGACTCATGTGTTGGCATTAATATTTTTAGTTGCTTTATTTAGAAAGGCATCCTTTTGGGGTGTGAAACCAAAATTAGTTTGCATTTCATGGAGAGCTGAACAAAATCTCTGGCATCCGTTTAGCTTTTCATCGTGTAAAATCCTCAGCTTCAAAACTATCCTAGCACCATTAATCACGCAACTTCAAGTCAACTCTAGTCCATAATGATGTACTGTAGCTTGAACAATAATATTCAGCCTGTTGAGCTCTTTATGAACACTTCATAGGTAGAGAGACTGAGAGATTCCCGGTTCTTTCCATAAGGTTCCTGTTTGCCCGCATGCAGTCATTGTCTCATAATATAGACATCAGAAATCCTTTGTATCCAGTAATGAAAGTAATGTTGAAAATCTTTGACAGCAGATGGCACAGAATCATCTTTATAAGGAAATGTACAGGTTGGTATCTTCATTTCAACTGCAGCACCACCTAAAATAAGACACAATGTCAGCAGAGGTAAGCGTTGGTGCCACTATTGTATAATAAAGTGCCCCTTTTATGATTTTTTGGACGTTGCCTTTCATGTAGTGTTATTTAGCTGTTTTGAATGTAGAAGTTATGCAAAGTTTCAAAGATCAAAGTGAACGATAAATGTAGTTATTGTCTCCCAAAAGAAAGAACCGATTCTGAACTGCCTGAAACGAGTCATCAGTCTGTAATTCCAGCCTTGCTGAGCGAACCTCTAGGTTTGCAGGTTTTTTGGCTCCCCCTGAACACCGTCTACTTTGACTCGCCCTTAAACACTAGTTTTAGCTGAGGCCTGGAAGAGTTTGGTTCATGTTGTCGACATTTCGAGAAGACGCTCTTTTCTGCATTGCGAATTTAAATCCACTTTGTATGCACTTCCGAAAGATGTAAAACCAACACTATGATAACCGTTCGTATCACTGTATACAAGTGCTGAGGAAGCCTCCTGAAATGCAGATATAGTAAAGGGCGTTTTGTATTATAACATGTGCTGTAAGGGATAGACCAATCACAACAGCCTGTACCATCTGACCAATCAGAGCAGAGTAGGCACTCGGAAAGGAGGGGTTTGAAGAGACCAAATCCTTTCTAACCGTTTCAGACACTGACAAAAGAGGTGATGCTGCAATGTTTTGTTTTTGTTTTTTTAAAGAAAATATAAGTTGTTTTTTTTACCTTGGATATGTGTAAACCTATTTTAGGAGACTCCAAAACAAAATTAGAAACTAATAAGGGCACTTAAATAGTCCATTACCTTAACCTTAAGCATTACCTTATTAGCAGCCTCTAGTGAACTGATGAGAGTTTGCAGCTCCTCTTTATTCATTTCTATATTCACAGATCTCTGAAGTCCATTCTCTTTCAGGTCCAGACTGAGATTTAGCAGAGGGGTGTTTAAAGCTGACAGCTTATCACTGGATAATGCCAGCTAGGAAGGAGAGGGGGGAGGACGTAAGAAAGCAATATTAGCAAATGGAAAAATCAATAGATTTTCTTATCGCTATGATTAATGCATACGTGTATGTGTGTGCTTGGTGCACCTTTAACTGCCAGTTAAAGTCCTGTAGCTGTGTGCTAGAGATGGTATTAGTTCTCTCCACCAGAGCATGTCTGATCTCATCAAACCTGGACCGCACACACTGGACAACAGCCTCAGCCCGTGCTGTGGCCAAATCACTCAGCAGTTCCTGGATCTTCAGACGTGCACAAAATAATCCATCTCACAAATGAATCAGATGTTTAGTCAACCAATAAATCTATCTATTTGAACATTTATATGACTCTGTACACAGTTAGACACGTTTATATGTCTGTTCAGATTCTCCTCTGCTAACCTCTTGATCTGAGCAGCCCCTTCCTACAGCAAAGCGGATGAGAGAAGAGAGAGTGTTCATTAACTCCACCCATTCTGTCAGACTCCACCGATCACTGTAATCTGTTTGCCTCGGACCACTCCGCCCGCACACCCCATCCACCACCCTGTGCATGAGCTTACAAAAGAAACAAGGAATTGGAAGTTTTCAGGGTTCAAAGTTAAGCTAATAAACAAAGATTACTGTTTTTAAGTTTCATCTAGAATTACGCATTTTTAAACAACAGATAACATAATAATTTTTGTTAAAAAAAAAAGTGATCCCAACTGTTTTTTAAAAAAGTAAACGAACAAAACAATCCACAAGCCAAAAACTATACCAAGAGACCCGGCTGATCTCAAGCTAATGGCAGAAGGTGTGCTGTCTATGTGTGCTACTGGTGTCGAAACAGAATCAAAACAACTATTTGTGCATTTATGTCATTTCATAAATAGCATTATATACTTACTTTAGGACATTCTTCAGATGGCAATTTGTCGAGCAATTTGATCATTTTGCTGTCTGTCGTCTTCCTCAGCGTCAATGATGTCAGCTGACCGAAATGTCACATGACTTCATCTTCTGTCGGCTGTCGCGTCAGTGCCTTCAGGATGTTCAGGATGTTGTTTGTACTCTGGGATTTATTAATGAAACATTTGACATACTTAAATTTACGTGTTAAAGTCCAACAAACTATTTCACTGTTGTCACATTTATACATTATTGTCAAGTCGAACGAACCCGGAACTATTCGCTCACAAAATTTCAAATTAAAAGTTCAAAATCATGTACTGTATATAAGTTAACGTTATCTAGATTTTAAATTCGATTAACATTTATTTAAATTAATTCTAACTTATTCGGACTATTTTTCTCCAAGCAAAATAACAGGTTTTGTACAGACAAACTTTTCCCATGTCTTAAAAGAGAAAGAAAAACTAAACGTAAGATGTAATAAAAAATATGTATATTTTACTCAAAATCCCTTTTGAGATGCTGGTAATCAAGGATTATATATGCTTTACGTTCAAATAAAATGTTTTATTTGTTTAGATTGCCGAAGCATGATAATACTGGCACACACAGGAGAGATAGTTGTGGGTGTTGTAGTAGTGTGGGTGACCAATCCATTGAGCAGCACACTGGTGCTCGCGCGCAAGTTCTCCGATGTAGGTTCGGTAGCTCTATATTTAATGTAACTGGTGGACCGTTAAACACAATAACGGAAGCGCTGATGCATGATTTATTTTGTACAGGATTATACTTACTCTGAAATGTGGGCAGTCCGTGACTCGACGGTAAGTTTAAGGCTTTGTTATCTGGAAAATGTGGTCCTTTAAGAAAGTACATCTCGGGCCATGATGCCGCCGACATAAGCATTTTATGATTTTACATTTCTTTTGACCTGTACTTACTCGAGGTCACATACACATTTATTGTACCTGATTTATAGGTGTCTGCGGATGTGTTTCCGGATGTGTAAAACGAAGCATAATTTGAAGCATCACCATGTTTTCATCACAATCTTTTCGCGTCTTAAAAGTAGCACGTGGTTCAGGTTGTGTAAGTTATTTAAAACATTTGCTGGTCAAAACTCAAAACAATTGAATGTTTTGTTTAAACAATTGTTTACAGAAAAGCTTGTAATAGGCTGTTTAATGCCAAGTTCGATTGTGACAACTTCCCATATCATTTGACAACATGCCCGTTTAGTTTTCAATGACATATATTTTTTCCCTCGGCAGTAATGTTGAAAATGTTCGATAGTTTTTTGTAGTCAAGACTTAGGGTATGTGTCTATGCAGAAACTGAGTCAAATGTGAACCTAGCCTGAGAAATACTTGAGTAATAAATGTGTAACTAGTATGTGAATTTTCTCAGAGGCCTGCATGAGCTTCCTAACGTGTTTCTCAGTTTATTTGAGAAATTTTGTTTATCCATAAAGCATTCAGTATTACATTTGATACATACATCCTCTAAATTATCTACATGTTGAAAATGACATGTACACGTGTCTTTTGCAATGGAATCTTTTAGATTTTTATTAAGTAAATGTAATAATAATTTTCAATAGTTATTGCGAGATGAACATTAACTTGACTGAAACAACTTTGGTTTATCCATACATCATTTATTTATGTATTTATTTTTTATTCATTTTATGTGTAATAAAACCTCACTAATTTACATTACAAGCTATTCGAATCTAATCTAATTTTTAGGCCATATAAATAACAGCAACTGCACCAAATTGCATATTTTTGCAAAGTTTGAGCCCTTGAATAAAACTGAGGTGTTTTTTTTCTCCTCAAGTATAAGCTCCATATTCTAATTATATCATACTATATGAGACATAAAAGCATGATGTATCGAATATGATACAAAACATAAAACAAATATGGAAGCCATTTATGTTCCATTTAAAAAAAAAAGGTTATTCTGATTATTACGGTTTCGAGATTTGACAAATAAAATCTATGTATTATCATTTTGATTTGGCTACACAGAGCAAAAAAAAAAAGTTTATTAAAGTTTCTGTCATAGCTTCTGCATTCATTCTCATATATCTGTGTCTGTGGTAGAGTAGTGAGTTTTTTTTTTTTGGTAATACTTTTTTTATTGCCTTTTCTTAAACACTTACACAACAATGTACATCACATGTCTGTAACATCACATATAATGTAAAAAAAAAAAAAAAAACACCGGGGCTCGTATTACATGAAAAGTGCAAAAGCACAAACCAACATTGGATAATGAAGTGTGTACTTTGGAAGTCAGAGTTAACAATACACTGCAATCAATAATAGTCACAGATAAGAGAAATAAAATAAAATAGGGTTAGTGCAAATTAAAATATATTTTAAAATGGATATAATACCTAATCAACCATTTTGTTCCTCCTCTATTATATTGTTCATATCCCCATGCTCAATAAATAATAAAAAGGGACTCCAAATCCTCTTAAATTGGTCTTCTTTACCCTTAAGAATATATGTTATCTTTTCCACTGCAATGCATGAAGATATTTCTCTTAACCATCGAGTTATAGTAGGCCTTTCTATCTTTTTCCAATAAATGGCGATGAGCCGTTTGGCATGTAGAATACACATGTCAATCAATACTTGAGTGTCCTTATTAATTTTCCAGTTATCAGGAGGAATACCAATAATGAAAAGCCCCGGATCCAGTGGCAATCTAACTGAGACTATATGCCATATCATATTATTAATTTCTTTCCAAAAAGCTTTTATTTTATCACATTCCCACATACAATGAATTAATGTGCCTTTTGCACTGTTACATTTAAAACAGGTATCTGGTATGTTGCTATAAATTTTGTTTAGTTTCACCGGAGTTATATAGGTACGCATAAGCCAATTGTACTGTAACAGTTTTAGTCTGCTGTTAATTGTCTGTATTTGGGCTTTTGGACATGTTTGCTCCCATTTTTCCTTATCTATCTTCAATCCAAGGTCCTGTTCCCACATGGCAAGTCTGGATGTAGATGACTCCTGAGAACCTAACAATAACATGTTGTATAAACAAGATATGTGTCCTCCACCAAGGCTTGGTTTAGATACACATTTCTCCAGATTAGTTAGCTCTGGCTCAGCAAGTCCTTGCCCCCGGGCAGTACGTATAAAATTCCTAATTTGCCAATATTTATAATAATGTTTTTTAGGTATTTTGAACTTGTCAGTAATATCAGTAAATGACATTAGAACGCCAGAGTAGTGAGTTTAATGTGAAACTCGAGGTCGGGGACCAAATCGGTTCTGTGGTGTGCGGACTGGAGTCAGTCCTAGAGCCTCCAAACAAATCTTTGGGGTGCGGATTGGATCGATTCCTTTCCTAGAGCTCCTATCTGGTTTTAGGGAAAAATCGGGTCTATTGGAGACGAGCGATAGATTTCTTAGGCGTGCCGAAAGAACACCACAGACACAGTACAATCAACATGGGAAAATCTCATAGCAATACAAGCAGCTGTGAGAAATATGATACTTGCCAGATGCGAAGTTTATCTATGTATCATCTTTTTACTCTTTTAATTCCTTTTATAACTCTATAATCTTTTTATCTCTTTCAATTGCTTTTATAACTCTTTTAATTTTCCTTGCTTTTATTTTGTGATTATTTTAATTCCTTTCTGTGTTAAGCACTTTGAATTACCATACTAGTGTATGAATGTGCTATATAAATAAACTTGCCTTGCCTAGAAGATACTATTTCGGAATTGGTATAGAATGATGTGGTTAGCCTAGTCAAAGCATGTTGAATGTTGGGTAGAGGATAGAATAGTCCCACTCCGATCATATTTTGAGCTATTTTTAAACATTCCCAGTGGTCTTTAAATTATGATTATGCCATTTTTAGCCAAAATCACAAAACCTGTGCCGTTTTCTGGCACTTCGCTTCAGCAGAGCGGCAGTAGCTCATTAGCAATTCGCCTCTGCGTTGTGGGCGGAGCCGTTGGCACGGAGACGACCCTCCCCCTGCCCGTTGCTGAGAGCTCTGTCTCTCCCGCTAGCTTACATCCCCAATACCGGTGGGGCAACAGTATTATATACACGTTAATTATTATTATCCGAAGTTAATCAAAGTTATCACCGATCACCGATCATTATTTCACTCCAAGACGTCGCATGTGGAGACGCCCATTGGAGTTACTACGTCACAACTCCAGTCTATTTTAGCCGGCATTTTAGCGTCTGCTACTGATTCACAGCCATTTGAATGTAGAAATACTCAGAAATACAACTTTGAGCTTATTTTTCTCAAGATATGTCCTCTAACATCAGAAAAATGCCACAAGAACATGTTAACACCTAGAAAAACATTATTTTCATCGGAGTGGGTCTTTAAGCTATAGATAAAGTCCTCATCTAATGCTTGTTTACATTTGTTTGCTTCCAACATTTCACATAACTAGCCTAGTTAAACGAAACATATCTATGGCCACCTATTATCTGCACACTGTGTGTGTTTATATAGTCGTTTTAGTGTGTCATTTTTCTGCTTCCTCATTTTGGGTCATGTTATTCTTGCAACATGTCCACCAAAGACCTTCAGAAAAGTGAAGCCTCTTGTATCTTGGCCTGTGTGAAATATAAGCTGCTTCATTTGAAACGAATCAAACACTCTTTCCTCTTTCCATTTTGTAGGGAAGTATGTGGTTAACTTGAAAATGGCATTGACTTCTGCCTTTCAGCCAACTTAAGCCTGTTAAACAGGTTTCATGCTTTCAAAAAAAGAAGAAATGGCAGATTGCAAGGAGTATACTCTGGATTTATAGTAATTTTATATGTGTGTTCAGGACGAGGGCTGTGTGTAGTGCAGACAGGGACCTCACCATTTTGTCTGGCTGTCGTCCTCATGGAGCGGCTCCACTGGGTTCGACACAGATGTCTGCAGCTGATATCCACAGACAGGAGGAGGGGCTGGTACTCTCCTCCTTCATCACTTCCACCTAAGAGCAGCCTGGACGCTCAAGACCCTCTGGTTCAGCGGCTCAGTGGAAAGAGAAGAGTGGTGGTATCACAATGTGGTCCACAACATGCGGAGTACCACAGCTTCTCCGAGGGCTTTCAAGACAACAGCATCCGGACAACCAAGTATACACTCATCAGTTTCATACCCATGAATCTGTTCCAGCAGTTTCACAGGTGAGCTGAATATATTATGTCTAAATGATTTAATGGTGTGTTTGTATTTAGAGGTTTTTGTGTGTTACTGACACATTTGTGTTCTTGCAATAGATCGGCAAATCTGTACTTCCTGTTCCTGGTGTTGCTGAATTGGGTCCCAGTGGTGGAAGCATTTCAGAAGGAGATTACCATGATTCCCCTAGCCGTGGTGCTCACCGTGATTGCCTTCAAAGATGCCATGGAGGATTACAGACGTTACCGATACGACAAGAAAATTAACAACACATTGACGCATGTCTACAGCAGGTCAGTATGTGTTCGAGCCTGTTTATATGGTGTTGACAGTGTGTCTGTTCAGTTGTGTTTTTTTTTTTGAGTTTTCCCTGGTGAAAAAAAAAAAGCTAAGTATACTTGCAGCCAGACTAATTCAGTGTTCTTTAAGTGTGTTAATGATTAGTTAACTTGAAGTGTGCTATTTTGGAACAACTAATTTTGTACTAAGTATATTTTAGTTTTGGTATTAAATTGTTGTAAAGCATAACTAAGTGTATTTAGTGTACTTTTGTGTGCTAAATTGGAACAACTTCAAATATACTTAGTATACTTTAACTATGCCTGTGTGTGTGTAGGGACTAATTACATGCTTGATTATTAATATCAAGTGTCTTCGAAACATATAAGCAATATACCAAGTGTATTATATTTGAGTGAAAAGTATATGCTAAGTAATACCTTTGGCTTATTCCAAATACTACAAATTGCACACTTTGTCTTCAATAACAAATGCACATTAATAAACAAATATATTACTTAGCTATACTTTGTACACTATACTATTGTATACTATAATGTATTTTGAAAGTATACTTTCAATGCATTGTTACAATGATAATTTTCAGCACACAGTTAAAAATATACCTAAAATATATTTTTAAAGCTCCAGTCCGTAACTTATTTGGGTTAAAAATTATCCAAAATAAATGTTTGAGCAAGTAAATAACCAGCCAGTGTTCAAAACTATCTGCTTGCCTTAGCTCGATTCAAAACTGCTTCAAAAAGCTTGTAATAATGTTTTTAATTCCAGTGGTACTGGTGGATTTCCACGGGAAATTTGAGCATGTCTTTGCGTCATTACGTCACATCTGTACACATAAAGAAGGAGTCTCGGCTAGTAGGCTATGTTGCGTGTGATGATGTTGGAGGTGGAGATTTATAGCCTTTTCTCACAGCACTTGATATAATTAAACTTATTAATTTGATGGCGGATCCAGGTTCAAACGACAATCACCAGTGACAACTGGAGATTCACCTGTTGTAAAATGCAAAAGACTTTGGACTGAGAGTTTGGAAAAAGAGACTGCAACCGGGCCCATGCAAAGACAAGGATAAATATCTGAAGGGCTTTGAATGTAGTCACGCAATGCTGATGTTGTTAACATTAACAATTTGAGAACAAAGTATAATTTGCTCGGTTTGACGTGATATGATAAGCGATCGTTAGATTTAATCAGTGTGATTTACCGCAATGCTTTTTTCCCTTAGTTGGTCAGAACAAAAGTGGATGTTACTTGTTCAGATGACATTTTAGGGCGAAAATTCTTATGTTGGTCATACTTCCAAAAAGTAGAATCTGTTATTGTGAATGACAGTCTCCACACCAGCTCGGCAACTGACAGCTGCACATTCTCCTTAAAACATTGGATTCATCCGCGCTGTGCCGTGCCGAGGCACAACTCACGTAAAGTTAATAATTCCGCGAATGACTGCAATTGCAGAATTCGAACAGAAATGGCGACAAAGAGGAAAAACTGCGGACTGCAGCTTTAAGTAAAGTGCAAATAAATACACTTTTAAAAAATAAACAGAATTTTCTCTTCAAGTATATTTTTCTAAAACATATCTTGAAAATATACGCACGTACAATTATTTAAAAATGTGTTAAAAGTTAGGTAAAAGCATGATGCTAATATACTTTTAATATTAAAAGAGTATTTTAAGTATCAACTTTAATATTAAGAGTAAGTGTGCATCATTGATCATTATTTGCGCAAAAATATTTTCTCAAAACACGAGGTTTGCTATTTAGAACACAATTTAAAGCAGAATTATCAAAAAGCTAACCTTGTTAGTTAAAACATTAAAACAGCATGCCACAGGAAATGTGTTCAAAAGCACCGCATCCACTACAAATATTACTATTTATTGTAACTTCTGGATAATCATTTCAGTGCTTAACCCCATAAATGAGAGTATTTATTCTAAATGTGTTTATCAAAATGAGTTTTTAAATCATTCTGTTTACTTAATTACTTGGCTCACTCCAGTCTGTGTCCGTACGATGCGTACATATTTATGCCTAGTTTAGTTTCTATAATTCTCGAAATGTGCGTGGAAAATGGCGTTTGTTTATACATCAGGCCCTGGCTCTTACATTTTACATTTAATGTCCATTAATCCATTACAAGCTCTTAGTTAACACGACTGTAAGATTAGTTAATACGATTGCTAAATGTAAGATGTAAATGTATTTTTAGATAAAATGCATGATAAAATGCATTTAATTGCAGTTTTAGTTAAGAATAACCATGTTGGTAATGAGCTTCAATGTGAGAAAAAAAAATATATATATGATAATATCCATAATAGATATATATAATGTCTTAGAGCTCAAGGCAACTTTGAGTTAGAGGCTCATGAATAACAGCCTGTTTGATCCAGTCGTTAATCTGGGCCTGCTCCTTGGGCCTATGGATAAAATGTGATGGCCTTTGCCTTGTTCTGCATCTTGTGACAGTGGCGTATTAAAGGGATCATATCATGAGGAACACATTTTTCCTTCATCTTTTCAGATAAAGGAATTCATTGCACTGTGAAAACACTTAACTTTCAGCTCAAATGTTCTTCACCAGCATTAAAGACTGAAGCCGAGCTGTAAAAAATGGCTCGTTCGGAAATCTTTCTTCTTCTTTTTTTGATAAGAGAAACTAATAACATTTGACTACCCATATGTACACATCAGTGCAGTCTATCCAGTTTTTAGAAACCTAACCCAAGTAACGGTCTGGTAATACAAGACAAATCAGGAAGCTAGCAAGAGTAAAAAAGTGTAGAAAACCTTCAGAACTGTTACGGCCCCGGTGTAGCATCGGTCTCTCTGCATATCCTTCAGAAGGATCCCAATGTTCGAAATCAATTAAACTATAACTAAGTTTAGCTTTACTGCTTAAAGCCCAGACACACCAAAGAATTATAAGCAAAGAAAAAAAACTGCGGTGACGGAAACCAATTGTGGTGTCTGCTCAGTGCTCACAGACTGTCTCTGGGCCAAAACACACCACAAAGACTACAGCCAGCAGCCAACTAGCATGTACGTTCTGCACCTGCCTGAGAGGAATAGCTCTCCATACCAGCAGGTGGCAGTAGTCTGTATTCAGCATTCAAAAAGGGAAACTGGAAGAGCTAGGACTGTGAATATACATTGAGAATATACTTCTGTGGCCCTGTCCCAAATGGCACGCTAAGCACTCGCGGTCTTCCTACGAGTCCGCACTTTCTTGACGTAGCGCCGCTTTGACTGTCGGGAAGGAGTCTGCTGCGGAGCTCGCGCCAGTGCGCATATCGACATTCAAACACTGTGCCTCTGAGATGAGGAGCTAATTTTCAAGAAATGACATTGCATAATTCCCATATTGTGCAGAACACTTGAGCCCCTTTCACACAGAGATTCCGGAAAATACACGGATAAAGCGACCCGGGATTTGACCCGGGTTCGTTTGATTTTGGTTCATTCACACTGCCAGTGATTTTCTGGAATCAGAGAGTGCGTTCACACACAACCCGTAAAAATCCCGTAAAGACATGTGACATCGATGTGACATGTAAGTTAATGTCTCAGCAGCGTGTATAGTTTGCTTATGAGCAATTTCTGCGTTCTGGCAATTTCCCGGGATTAACGCGCTGTGTGAAAGGGGCTATTGAGAGCCACAACTTCCGTCTAGGCTCTCAAGGACTTTACCCGTTAGAAGTAATTTTTCTCCTTTGTTCCCTGTCCTTCCTCAGTCGTCTATGTAAAGAAATTAGCTGATAAAGGGTTTTCTATAACAATGCTTCAGTATTTCCTTGAAGAGATATTGATCTCTAGTGTCTTGATGTAAAACTTCAAATGTAGTTGTGAAAGTCTGTGATGTCACAGTTATGCCCCTCCCAGTGAGCAAGTGCTCATTTCTTATAACACAACATCTGACACAGGACACCCTGTGCTGTCCTTCTCTCTATGTTTGATTATGGCCACTATAACATACTAAATGTCCGAGATAAACGCCACACTGCAAACTTGTTGCTTATTTACCAGCCCTCAGTTTTTCGGTCTAAAAACTGCCTCTGAGTCATAAAAAGCTCTACGTCTAGTTTGTTTATGATGCCTGGGAGTGTTTCCTGGATAAGGAGCGGCCCGGTCTATATGTTATAGATCATTACCGGTTTCTGAACCACACATTACTGTTGAGACAAAGGTTTTGAAGGGCACTTCTTACTTCTTAGGTGTCAGATCTTGCACATGATGATCTTTACTTGGACGGAATCATAAAAATGAATTTAACTAGTGATGGTGAGACCTGTTGGACATGCTGGGGATAGAGAAACTGCCTGAATTGGCTGGACCATTCTTACAGACCGTCTTCCCGGAGCAAGAGGAGTCAATGCTACCATGATTCAGTCGTTAGACCTAGATCAAGGTGTCATGGCAAAAGATCTGACCAAAAACAGAAGGCTTGTCATGCCAAGTTGGACTGAAGATGAAGAGGTAAAGGAATTACAGCAATCGTACTGCAGGAATAAGGTCCGAACAACTAAGTACACCTTCCTGTCCTTCATCCTCAAGAATCTTTTCGAGCAACTTCATCGTTTTGCCAATGTATACTTTGTCTTCTTGGGTGCATTGAACTTTGTGCCTATTGTAAATGCGTTCCAGCCAGAGATCTCCATCATTCCTATTGTCTGCGTGATGTCCATAACTGCTGTTAAAGACCTTTGGGAGGACCAACGGCGGAGGAAGTCTGACCAAAAGGTCAATAACTGCTTATGTGATGTGTATGACAGGTAAAAGCATGAAACATTCTGAACGTCAGAATTGAAAATATACCCGTAATACACACAAGTCAGTTTGTACTTTAACCTATTAGGTTAGGCGGCTGATATCTGCTATCAGTGGATCATGGCATAGCGCATAATATGTATGCAGTATATATATATATATATAGATATATATATATATGCTTTTTTGTTCTTCAACAGCATGTTTACCATGTAGTATGGTATTATTTAATGTAGCTGTGAGGTGACTTGACCCAGATATTTTACTTTTGACAGTTTCTTGATCCTAACTCTGGCTTGTTCTTCAAACAGTTCGGAGGTGTGGCTTAATACCTTCAATGGATGTCACTGTCAAATGCAACAAACTTTGGTTTCTCCAAATACAGCCATTTGGATTTGCATGTTAAAGTGTCACAGCTTCAATGTGTCTTCTAATCTGCTGCAAATTGCAGTTGCTGTGCTCAGGCTACATTACATGTTTATTTCCAACCTGTGTCCTGTGCTATAACCCACGTACGTCATTTTTTTTATTAGTGCAGCTCTTAGTTAATGGTTAGCTTGAAGTATAGTTATTATTGATCTCTGTTTTCTTTTATAAATTTAAATGAATATCTCTTGATTAAAGGTTTATTTTAAACCTTTATTTAAGCTTTGATATTCTGCACTTTCCATGAAAAGAGTTTATTAATGCAACAGGCAAAAGCTTAGAAATACCTTTGATTTCAGAATGTATTCTAATTAAGGGTTAATACTATATATATAATATACTATAGTATACTGTGTAGTCATGTTGATCCTGTACACAGTTGCCATTCACAGACAGCTGACTTTAGTGTTTATATTTTGCCTTCTTGCACTAATGTCCTGATAAATATTGTACCAAAGCGTTGTGTTATCTGACATTTGGTTCTAGCTAAGCTGTAATGCTGCTCAGTTTAAAAAGGCTCCCATGTGATCGCCTTGCCCTAGGGGTCATATTTGTTTTTCTGTTCTGGAGCTGTTGCTGTGGGTGACAATGAAGCGCTGGGCTTACTTGATTACTATGAGATTGAGGCTGGTGTGTTTATTTTAGTAGGAATAAAACAGCAATGTTGAATATGCTTTGTGCTAAAATCATATGGCACATCAGTGCACAGAAACAAGGCATCATTGGAAATGCATATACAGCATGGATGTTTTTGTCATGCTGCAGGTATATATTAAATACTTTTTTGTTGTTGGTTTGTTTCACAATGGTTCTGCAGATAGTCAATAATACCACCAGCAAGACTGGTTTTCAGGGCCATCAATACTGAGAGGGCTGTTTTGACTAATAATAAACACATTTTACACGTCTTTCTGGAATACTGTATTCTGCAGTGATTCTGCAGTCTTATTAATAAGCACGAAACTGTATATATGCATTTGTTATTTCTGGAAGCCAATTTCCTACGTAACTGTAATAGTTTATTGTCTTTTTTTGCTTATTTTGTATAATGATTTTTTTTTTTAAATAAGCAGAGTACGTGATATATTATATGTGTATATATATATATATATATATATATATATATATATATATATATATATATATATATATATATATACATTATATTATATAAAAACATTTTTTTGTACAGCCATGCACAAAGCAATCAATATTCCACATATTATATTTTGATACCAATCAAGTCCAAATGTTTAACAAAATGTATAAGATTTAACATGTAGTCACGATTGTGTCTTTAATTCTGTATTAAAAGCATCAGCCAGAGTATGATATTATTTCACCAAAACTGTTGTTTGAACTGCATGTTTGAAAAAGAGTTTTGAGAAAAGCAAAACAATTAGTGAATTACAGCTCGGTTTCAATTATTCTAGAAAAGTGCCTTTCTTCATTGTGTCTGTTGTGTTTATCCAATATTAATAGTGAATCCAAATAAAGCATTTAAAGTGTGTTTGTGTATTGAAGGAAGCATCTGCGGTATATTGAGCGCCGCTGGGCGGAGGTGTGTGTTGGTGATCTGGTCCGTCTCAGCTGTAATGAGATCATTCCTGCTGACATGGTGCTGCTGCACTCATCTGACTCTAATGGAGTGTGTCACATCGAGACTGCCAACCTGGATGGAGAAACCAACCTCAAACAGAGGCAGGTGGTCCGTGACCTGTCACAACAGGTTTGTACCTATGCATTTCATTGGCATCTTCATCACCATTGTTTCTGTTTGTTCTCCATAAATATATGAGGTAAAATATGTTTTGCTGTATTTTTATTTTTAACGTGAGTGCCGACTCGGCCATTTGTAAATTGAATGTGTGTGTCTTCCCGTGCAATCCGCTTCCAGTAATTTTTAGCTGTACAAAACACCTTGTTATGCTGCTTGATATTGCAAACTGGTATTTCTTTCCATATTATTTTAACGTATTGTCATAATTATAAACATTGGTTTGTAGCACAAATTATTTTACTGTTTACTGCACTTTGTTATTCTACTTGTTATTTACCTATAGCGGCTAATAAATCGTAAATCTCGCAATTCACAGAAAATAGATTAATTCCACATTGCAAAAAAGTTGTATAAAGGTAATTGTTTTTTGTATTGAAATCTATAAAGCTTTTTAAAAGAAATAAAATGCATTTCATATATACAAAAGTGGCCTAAAGTGATGTCCGGCCTTGGAAAATCTTCACCCTTTGTCCAAATATTATTAAAATCATATAATTTTATAAGCATGTTGCATAGTCGTGCTTGGAGTCAATTGTTTTATTTCTGATAACGCAATGAAACATGCCAAGTTGTGCGAACATAATTTTTGGCCAGGCTGTCATACAAAGAAATTATGAACACATGGAAAAACAAGAGAGAACCAATGAAATTAATTTAAAAATATATATTTAAAATATTTTTCTCAAATTTTGATGGTTTAATAGAACTTTTAGGGTTTCTAAATACAAATATACCCTCTGGACATCACTTTTTGCCTCTACTGTTGACAATTATTTTAAATCACATCATCTAATGTTCTCTGAATTTCTAAATTAAAATACTTTTTTTGTGGGGCATAAAGTAGGGTGTAACCGTCATTACAAAGAAAAAAGTCTCTGAAATGCTGAAATCCTTAAAAGAAAACTTTATTAAATTGTTTGGCATAAAAACATTGTGAAAATAAAAACCTCTCTGAGCAGTGTGTTTAAAAAAATTGTGAATGTGATTTTCCTTTAGGGATCTGAATTTATTCCAGAAAACTACAGCAGTCGCATTGAGTGTGAAAATCCCAACAATGACCTGAGACGGTTCAGAGGCTTCATGTGAGTAAGCATTAAACTGCTTCTGTAAATGATAAACAAGGCATTTTAAAGAATTATTAAAATTGTTGTATTTACACAGGGAGCATCCTGGTAAAGGACGGGTTGGACTCCATAGTGAAAACCTGCTCCTGAGGAGCTGCACTGTGAGGAACACGGAGACTGTGATTGGCATTGTAGTCTATGCAGGTCACTTTCACATCAAAAGATATGATGAGATTGTAGAAAGATAAAGAGCTTCACATTAAAAGATATGAGATTGCAGAAAGATAAAGAGCTTGTGTGTAATTGTATGCAGGTCACGAGACAAAAGCGATGCAGAATAACAGTGGGCCGCGCTACAAACGAAGTAAACTGGAGCGCAGACTCAACATGGACGTCCTCTGGAGTGTCGCTCTACTGCTACTTATGTGCCTTATCTCTGCTGTAGGTTAGTATAATGGTCACTGATGTACTTGTGTTAGCATTTAAACTATTAAGTACTAGGTGGAGCTGCACGATTCTAGATAAATTGAAAATTATGATTTAGTTTAGTTCCTTTATTGTCCTCAAGTGGAAATTTGTCTTTGGCTTCACTATACACCACACACAAGTACACCAACACAACATAACAATATACATAAAAATAAAATAAAAACAATAACATTCCCATATGTACATGCATACATATCCACCCCTACTCATATTCATATCTTCTCAACATTTAAAATTCTAATGGCAGTCAGCAGAACACATTTGTACTCGCTCGAGGTTGTCTAAAATGTCTCCTTGATAGTTTTGTTTAAAATAAAGATCATGATTCACCTACGATTCTGATTAGGCAGCTAAACAATATTACATTTTAATGTAATTTATTAGAGATTCAGCAAAATGTTAATTACAGCAGTCTATTAAAAAAATATTTAATTAATTTGAATAGATTTTTGTTAATTAAGTTTGAATTAATGATTCAATGACTCATTCATAAAGACTTCACTTGTTTCATGACTGAATGAATGAGCGTTTCTATTAATCTCTTGAATGAATGATTCAATGACAAATAAAAAATTACAGTCTGTAACAAAATGAAAATTACAGTCACTTTAATCGTGCAGCTCCAGTACACGCTTAGTGTTATTTTTGTGGGTTTAGTAAAAATATGATTGTGATATATAGGTCATGGTGTTTGGTTGAGTGGACTACAGAATGCTATTTTCATGATTCCTGATGAGACACACCCTGCACTCGCTGCCTTTTACTTGTTTTGGACTATGATCATTGTTCTGCAGGTGAGTGACAGTGAGCGGACACATGCATGTCATGTCTAATCCAATTATTATCTAATGGTAATGCTTTAGCTAAATCGTCAGTAAATTTGAGTATGTAACATTTTATGATAGTTTGATGCAGGTTTAAAGGTCCCGTTCTTCATGTTTTTTGAAGCTTTGATTGTGTTTACAGTGTGCAATATAACATGTGTTCATGTTTCGCGTGTAAAAAAACAGTATTTTTCACACAATTTACTTATCTGTATACCGCTGTTTTCACTGTCCAAAAAACGGCCCGATGACTTCCTTGTTCTATGAAGTCCCTCCTTGATAATTTTACAGGTATTATTTATGCTCTAACAGCAACATTACACACTAACTAAAGTTTGAAAAATGGAATCGCGAAGAACGGGACCTTTAAATCTGGTTTGCATAAATTCTGTATTCTGTTGCCCTATTTTTTGTCATTTCTTTATAAAAAGTTTTTGACCTTTTAAAAGTTAAAAAATGTTATGGTACATGTACAATGATATTCAAGATTTTGTAGTATATCAGGCCTATCCTTTACAGTTCATGAATCAGGTTTTTAGTTAAATACTTCAGTAAGCATATAACCAATCTTACTTGTCTATGTATCTTACATTGCTGTCCTCCTCTTCTTTCTTTTTTGTGTGTTGTAGGTGCTGATTCCCATCTCCCTCTATGTGTCGATAGAGATTGTGAAGCTGGGACAGATATATTTTATTCAGAATGATTTAAATCTGTATAACCCAGTACTGGACACAGGAGTGCAGTGCAGAGCGTTGAACATCACAGAAGATCTTGGACAGATCCAGTACCTGTTCTCTGACAAAACGGGAACCCTCACAGAGAACCGCATGCTGTTCCGCCGCTGCACTGTGGCAGGAACCGAGTACCCTCACCGTGAGAACGGTCAGTTTACTTCAAAACAGCCTTTAAATACGGCTGATTGATTCTTTGGGTATGCTGTTTATAAGGATAAAAAATTTCAATTAAAGTTGACTTGCTTATTTTTTATCTGAAGATTTTACTGAATGTTTTTTAAGGCTGTCAAACTTAAAGGGATAGTTCACTTTGAAATAAATTTTTTGGTATGTTTTAGCTTACCTCAAGGGCATCCAAGATGTAGGTGTCTTTGTTTCCGCAGTAGTTTGAATTTTGATATTTTTAGGTCAAACCGTTCTTGTCTGTCAGTCATATAATGCAGGTCTATGGTCACTTCCTCAAAGAGCATACACAGAGAAGTCCAAATTAAACATGATTTAATGACTCGTAAATGTAAGTACACATTGATGGCCTAAGACACGAAACAAGCCGTTTGTGTGAGAAAACGAACAGTATTTATATCGTTTTTACCTCTTGTAAACACAGCCACGTCCAAGTGATCTGAGGGAAATACTGTTCGTTTTCTCACACAAACCGCTCGTTTCGTGTCTTAGGCCATCAAGACACCTACATCTTGGATGCCCTTGAGGTAAGCTAAAACATACCAAAAATGTATTTCAAAGTGAACTATCCCTTTAACATGCTAACTTAAGATATTCATAAATTGATTAATATTAAGATATTTATTTTTATAATAAAAATATACCCATTTTTAACACATTTACCAAATTTACCATATTACAGTTTAATTTTTCATTCTACTCTTTAAAAACTGATAATAAATCATGAGAAGTTGTGATTTATTAAATTAAATGTGATTTATTGTTAAATTATATTATATTGTACATTATGTATATTAATAATTAAATGGGAAAAAAATGATCACAACAACTAATTAGATTTTTAAGACAACTACATATATATATATATATATATATATATATATAGTAGTCTTTAAAATATCAAACTTTTTGTGAATAATAATCTATTTTATTTTGTCTATATGTGTGTGTGTATATATATATATATACATACACACACACACACATTTTATCAAAAGTATAAATGGGTGTTTATGCGTGAAAATATGTAGCTATCGTCATGGTCTTGATCATGTTTGTGTGTTTCTCCTCAGCGATTTCTCTGGAACAGTATGAGGCGCAGGGCTGTGGCGATGCAGATCACTCTCTAACCCTGAGGTCACGCACTAGCAGGAAGTCTCTGAGCTGTAAATCGCTCAGCTGCAACCGGAGTTCAGTGTCCCTCAATACCCTCACTGCAGAGTCTGACACGCACTCAGTCCACGACACGCTCCGCAGACACACACCCGGAGCCTTCAGCAGCACCATGGTGAGAAAAGAAAAGACTTATCTTTGGCATTTACTCTAGGTTAGGTTAGGTCAACTTTATTATCCCCAAGGGGCAATTTGTTTTACAGTGTTTTACAATCTGCATGTGTATTTTTCCTTGTCTTGATTACTTTATTTCTTTACTCCCTGTATTAGTCGTCTATTAATTTCACTGTAACACGCACTTCAAGTATTTATTGTCATAAGTAAATAAATCATAAATCATTTTTTCTCTAGGAGTGTGCTGTTGTTCCAGACCCTCAGCTTCATGTGAAGCTGAGCACACTGTCATCCCCCATACGTTCCCCTCTCCAACAAGAAGCTGCCGAAATCTCTCACATCCTAGACTTCTTTCTCGCCCTCACTGTCTGCAACACCGTAGTAGTTTCCTCACCCACTCAGCCAAGACACGTGGTATGATCCAAGTCTTTACTAATTAACTAAACTGATAGTCTGAAACCTTTCCCTAACTAGATTTTGGGTTCAAGTTGGTCATGCAGATTCGCAGTGCTGCTTTCTGCATGACCAACTTGAACCCAAAATCTAGTTTCTGGACACACAAAATTCCAATCACATGGATTCCTATTGAAATGGCAGGATTTCGCCTTTGAAAAGTCACTAAACAGCTGTAAATGTGACCGAACTTTAAAACTGTGTCCAGCTGGTTTTGAAGCTGTTTTTTTATGTGAACAACCACTAAGAAATTCGTCCGAAGGTGTCAGGTATACCCGAAAACCCATCTAATTATACAGTTTTTTGGGTTTTTTTTTTAAACAATTAGTCAATTTTGATAATATGTAGTTTGGCATCTCAATCCGCTAGGTAGAAATTTTTTGTAATAAAAATTTAATTCATATGAAGTATGTTGTAACCATTAGAGCAGGGTAAACAATGATTTTCTAAGACTGATCTTAATCTGTGCCCGTTTTTAATGGCTGCAGGAACAGACTGGCCTTAGCGATGGATTTAGGCCCGGGGCTTTTCCCAGTAAGCCAGTCAATTTGTAAGCCACTGTCAAAACTAAATTAACCTCAAACATGGTTTAAACTGTGCAATAAATAATACACTAATTTTTCATTGCTGAAATCATAATCAAATTAGCCAAAATATTACATAAATTGATATTGCAAATAATTATACGTCTTATATGTGCATTTCTTGCATGTTTTTGAATCTGTTAATGTAATATCAGGTTCAGATGCCTGTGGTTCGCACACCCCTGCGCTCTCTAGAGGAGATGAAGGCCATGTTTCAGAAGCTAAGTCTACCCCGCTTTCCCTATTCACCTAGTCAAAACACAGACACTCCTCCCAGCCTAACCAAGAAACTCTTCGCCCGGGGTCGTTCGGCTTCCTACTTCCCTAACAGCAACCCTCAAACACCCATCAAAACGCTACAGTCCCCCATCACACCTTCTGGCACCCCTTCAAGCACTCCATCCATCCCTGTCACTCCTGCGCTGTTGCCCAGTGGGGCGTGGGGCGAGGACGTGGACAACATACAGAAAGCCAAAGATAACTCTGCTGATGAGACTGAGAGTGATGATGAGGATGAGGCAGAAGAGTTGCTGTACGAGGCAGAGAGCCCGGATGAGGCGGCATTGGTGCAAGCAGCAAAGGCTTATGGGTGTACTCTGCTGGGCCGGTCCCCAGAGCAAGTCCTCGTGGCTGTTCCAGGCACAGGGCCACTGTCTATCACTCTGCTACACATACTGCCATTTCATTCTGCCCGCAAGAGGATGTCTGTGGTGGTGCGCCATCCCCTCACTGGAGACGTGGTGGTTTACACTAAAGGAGCTGATAACGTCATTATGGAGCTGGCTGAAGAAGGTATGTGAGGTGGCGTCTTTGCTTTACCAAAGCTGCTCATGTATGTTTTATTAAGGTTAGTTCACTCCAAAGGTCATTTCCATCATTTGACTGATTTTTTTTAGCAGTGATGGAAAAATCTGAAGGCCGTCATTTTGACAGATTACACTGAGGGTGATATATTGTACCGTAACTTGTAACTGTAATTTCCACCCCCGTCCAGTTGACCAGGAGAAAGATTTGTGTTCAGGCAGATACAAAGCATCAATGTAGTTGAGTTCAGTTAATTTATCATGTTTTGTTCATATCATAATCTAAATAATTATTTTTAGATAATGTATTTTTTTTAATATACTGCGTTGGTCATATATGCCTGTTCAGGCCCAAAAGCTTGTGTTTTAGTGGCCTCTGCTGTCACTATGGAAAAAGTCTCTGTTCATCTGTTTTGTTCCTAAATAAATAAATGCATAATCTTGCCCTTATGCTCGTCCTGTAATTTCATGATTAACCCTCTGGGCTTCTTTGTTTAGTGGTTACACTTGGCTTCCTTTCGGTCAAAAAAGACCGAATCCTTAAAATGTAACTTTTTTTCCCCCCAGGAAAACCATTCAAATATATTTTTGTTCAATAATATTTTCTTCTTATTATTAAGAATTTTTAAAGATTTTTATGATACTTTGCATTATTTATTTAATTTTTACGAGCTATTTTTTCCATTAGAATTTTTTTATTTTTTTTATTATTATAATAAAAAAAAAAAAAATTCAAAAAACTCAACGTGGCACATTAAAATATAATGCTGGCAGCAGGCAAAAAAAAATTCAAGTGAGAATACCACCATCCAGTGGCTTTAAAAATGTTTTAAAGTGTGTAATGTCCGTAACCGCCTGGTGGCTGCCCATAGCTTCCTATGTAAATAGATAGAAATGCTTTTTGATTCCTATTGCTGTTTTAGACATGATTTCTCTTTCTTATTCGTTTTTTTTTATTTAGATATATATTTAGATATGCTAAAAGACTACTTTTTTTATTTATTTATTTTTTGTTTAGATAAGTACAAATGTATAAATGTGTGTAATGTCCGTAACCGCCTGTAGGCTTCCTATATAAATACATAGAAAGGCTTTTTGATTCATATTGTTGTTTTAGACATGATGAGGTGTGTGTGTGTGTGCATTTGAGCAAGAAAGAGTAGCCTATCTTTTGTACTTTATTTTAAATTTTGATTTTATTTAGCATTTTCTCAACATTTGCTGTTACAGTCTTTCCTGTTCATTTCTCTGTGTGTGTGTGTGTTTGTGTGCGTGGGTGTGTGTGTGTGGGGGGGGGGGGGGAGGTGTCTTATTTGCACTCTTGATGTTTTAGAGTGTCACCCCTTCATTGCTGTACACTTTTTTTCTGCACAGTGGCTGATCTGTAGTTTGTACCACCAAAAGTTTCTCTGAGTTTTCCTAATTTTTCGTATTTCCCATTCATTTCCTATGTCGGTCATTTTTGACCGAAAGGAAGCTAAGTGTGACTATTTTTTTTAAGACCCTTTAACATATCCGAATCATCTCCTTGATTTTTTTGTGTGTTCACATAGGTAATACAACAAAAGTCACCAAGTTTCATCCCCCTCCGATGAAGCAAAAAAATTAAACATTTCAAAACGTATACTGTTTCGGTCATTTTTGACCGAAGAAGCCCAGAGGGTTAAAAATGGAAATGTGGATGAAAACAAAAGCTGTTAAAAGCATTATTATCATTAAAATATGAAAATTAAAATGACTGGTAATAACAGATTATGACAGAATTTGTACGACCCTGTCCGTCAAAATGAGGGACAATGAGAAATTATAACGTGACCTCTGGTTGATGGTGGACTAATCCAGGTGTTTCAAGCTTTTTGATGCCAGTATCCACCTCATATGATGATCGCTTTGTGAAGGACCCCCTTTTTAACATACCTGTAAAGTTTTCACCTAGCAGTATCAACAATATGATAATCTTTAACATCTCATATTGCTTCTGCTTACATACTGTATCAAGGCTTAAAAGGCTAATTTCTGTTGGCCCAAAAGTGTACAAAAGATCAAACCTCTCTAAGGGTCCATTCACACAGGCATTATTGCATTCCTCTTCACTGCTTTTCCATTGTTTTTCTATGTAAACATTCTCTAGATGGATGTTTTCGATCGTTAAGCTCACATCTCTCGACTTTTGCAGTGTCTCGCGCATGTTCTTAAGACGTGGCTCTCAAGCAAACATCAGTTAATTAAGACCTTTAAAAAATGTCTTAAAAGTCATGATCCCTTAAGTGTTTGGAGTATGTTTAGTAGATTACAGACTGAACAGAGTGTTGCCCTTTCAGTTTGCACACTGAGTATTTATTGTAATCACTGACTGTTGAGGATTAAAAATGCACTAGACTAGTCCATATCGTCATTTTGTGTAGTCCTACTTTTCAGAAATTTGGATGCGATATTGTCACAACAGTGTTGAGTGTATACTCAAGTATTTGTTTTGACTCTGTGTGCATGTGGGTGCAGCTGAAGATGGTTTCTCAAGGGAAGTAATAGAACGGACGCAGAAACACCTGGACCAGTATGCAAGAGAGGGACTGCGCACTCTCTGTGTTGCTAAAAAAGTACGTCTTTCACTCTCATTTCCCTTATTTGCAACATTCATTATCTTCTATTTGCATACAGCACATCAAATGTAACCTGACAATAGATTGCATTAAGATGCCTGTGCATGGAGGTTGAGACTTGAAGAAAATTGTTGGCATATGATTGACAGGTGATGGAAGAGCAGGAATACAAAGCCTGGTTGAAGAGACATGAGTATGCAGAAACCAGCATTGAAAACAGAGAAGAGCTTCTGCTTGAATCTGCTGAGAGACTGGAAACTAATCTCACATTATTGGGTGAGACAAAAATGAAATCTCCCTGAAATTATATTGTGTGTTGGTTGTCCTAGCCTAATTCTTTCTTGGTTTCCAGGGGCAACGGGTATAGTAGACCGCCTTCAAGAGGAGGTGCCTGAGACCATTGAGGCTCTGCAGGAAGCTGGGATTAAAGTATGGGTCCTCACAGGGGACAAACAAGAGACGGCAATTAATATTGCTTTTGCTTGCAAACTCATTAGACCCACAGACCACTTACTGATGGCCAATTGTGACAGCAAGGTAAGTAGAGGTGGTGAACTTTGAATTTTAACAAAGTGACTATTTACACCCTGGTATAAATAGCTGGTGATGCTAAAGCTTACGAAAATATGGAAGAACAAATCAGTAAATCCTGGTTTGGCCAGTTGCAACATACTGTTGTGAAGTGTGGACATTGAAGAAAGAGGAAGAAAGGCCCATCTAGGCTTTTGAAAACAAGTGCATTAGAAAGTTGTTACAAATTCCATGGACAAAACTGATGACAATTGAGCAGGTATAGATATTGTCTAGAACAAAAAGCGAATTGCTGAATCACATTAAATCCCACAAGTTACGCTATTTTGGTCATGATAATGCGACAATCAGTCGATACCATTAAAGTCAGCATCGTGACAGGTTTAGTGGAAGGTTTCAGAATTCGTGGAAGACTTGCCGGATAATATCACGACATGGACTGGTCTGTCAGGAGCTGGCTTGTTTAACGCCATACGAGACAGAAGACTCTGGTCATTACTTTCTCATCCATACAGCCAACCGCCACCAAGCAACTTTGGTGAAATGACATGACATATATAGCACTGAGTGTCCACTATTGTCAATTTAATATTTGTTTTGTATAATATGCAATAAGTTAAAGCACACTTGTAAGTAAATTCCAAAATATATTTATATAGTATATTTATGTTAGACTTTTCCAAACATCTAGGCAAACTGTAGAGCTTCATGCTGACAATGCCAAAGTCGTAGGTTTGATTCTCAGGAAGTGCATGAACTAATTGACTTAGCTTTTTAGCCTATATTGGTTTTGGTAATTCCCATTAATTTGTACATGTAATTAATTAAAATAAAACAGCCCTGGTTTTATATTATATTGTATTATATTATGTTAGAAAAAAATGCAAAACCTAGGGTGAAAATGTCAACAAAATACAAAGGTAGATGCCAGTATGTTCAATCCTTTGTTGCACTGTATATAAAACTGAAATCTGAATTACATTTTTTGAATGCGTGTGCTTTGTCCCTCAGGAGGCTTGTGAGGCTCAACTTCATGAGTTACAACTTGAGATCAAACAAGTCACAAATGGAGGCGCGTCTAAAGATGATTGTAGTTCTGACTGTGTGTTGGTTATTGATGGCCGTACGCTGGACTATGCTCTGCAGAAGGAGCTACAGGAGCCCTTCCTGGAACTCACATGCTGCTGTCGCTCAGTCATATGCTGCAGATCCACCCCCCTGCAGAAGAGCCTAGTGGTACGGCTCGTCAGAGACAAGCTGAAGGTCATGACCCTGGCTATAGGTGAGAAAGTACATTGAAAGGTATATGGTTGAATGTCCAGGTAGAATGTTGTTTGAACTAAAATGTGACGCTCATATTCAGGTGATGGAGCCAATGATGTCAGTATGATTCAGATGGCAGATGTTGGCATTGGCATCTCAGGCCAGGAGGGCATGCAGGTACAAGCAGAAACCAGGGTTGGGTTTGGGTACTCCCATGTAATTGTATTATTCGTTTTGACTAATTATGTCGAATTTTGACTAATTACACAATTGTTCAATACTTTGGGATTGTTAAAGAGTAACGTGCAGGTTGGACACCCCTATATAGCATAGTGTATGTTGATGATAAAACAACTAGATTTTCTGAACTGGAGTAATATATATTTAGCCATTAACGATATTTTGAGATAAATTGTGATAAAATAACTTACGCGTCTATAAAGCACTAACCGGAAGTGACGATGGGCGAGGGAGTCTGGTCAAGTTCAAGCTCAGGTTACAATGGATGTGAATGAAGAAACCGAGTTCTCCGATGTAGACGAGCATGCCTATGGCCCACAGGTAGGGATGGGGCCGATCCGATCAAGTATCGGGATCGGGACCGATACCAGCGTAATTCATGTATCGGATTTCCCCGATCCAACCTGCGGAGATATCCGATATCCTGCTGAAATGACTCCAAAAGTGATACCCGCCGGCTAGTCTGCTAGCTGCCTCAGGAAATCCATTCCGCAGTTTGCAGCCAGCAAGCAGGATAGCATTGAGCTGCCAACATGTTCGCTGTGTGTAAATACACTGGAAACACCGCAGAGCAAGACAGCAAAATGCAATGTTTGCAAAGCTGTATTAATTAAACCATCTGTCTGTGATGCAAAAAATCTCCAGGTCTATAATTCTCCGGAGTGAAATGTGCGCTACAACAAACGACCGAGTGTGTGGTGACAGACGCGGCAGTGAAGTCTGCTCTCTTCACCTGCACAAAACGCACCCAAGAACGAAAAGCCTTGTTTTTCCTAGACGGAAAATGATGGGCACGATGTCCTGACAGGCTGGAATTCGTGCAACCAGCACAAACACAATAATTTACCATTATGGCATCTCTAAAACTCGATCTAAAACTTTCTCTGTCTCTCACTACCGCTCTAACTACAGCTGAACGCGAGCTCTTATTTGCCTCGGCCTACGTCATATGACGCGTTGCTAGCGGGAACGGCGTATTCCAGAGCCTAGCACATTTTCATCAAAATTTCTACATCAAATGAGATTTCATTAGTAATTTCTACATATGTGTTTTTAAAAGACCTCTTCAGACAATATCAAGTATTAATTCAGTTATAAATTCAACCTGCACGTTGCCCTTTAAGATTTTTCAAATACTCACTTATGCTCAACAAGTCTGCATTTATTTACCAAAAATACAGTGAAAACATTAATATTGTGAAATATTATGTATAGGGGAAAAACATTTGATTTAATATTATAGTTAAAACCTTGTAGTTCATTTAACAGAACAGATCTTTCCCACTCTTGCAATGTTTATAATGTATTCTCCCTTCATGTAGGCGGTGATGTCCAGTGACTTTGCCATCTCGAGATTTAAGTTCCTAAGAAAGCTAATTTTGGTTCACGGTCATTGGTGCTACACACGGTTGGCTAACATGATCCTCTATTTCTTCTACAAGAATGTGGTGAGTAATGTACACAGTTCCTCTTATCTTATGAATCAATGCGTTCCTGACTTGTTCCTCTTCTTTCTTCTTTTTTCATGTAGATGTATGTGAACCTGTTGTTCTGGTACCAGTTTGTCTGTGGCTTTTCAGGCAGCACGATGACCAACTCGTGGGTTTTAATCTTCTTCAACCTTCTCTTCACCTCCATACCTCCACTCATATATGGAGTGCTGGACAAAGATGTGTCTGCCGAGACACTCCTAGAACTGCCTGATCTCTATGAGTCTGGACAAAAGTCGCAGGTGGTCATCCTGTCTCACACGTCGTTCTGTTGTACTCTGCCTTTCTGTTGTGTTCAGCTCATGAGCTGTTTTGCATTGTGTTTTACATGGTATGAATATAATGATGGCTTATTTGTGGTTATGTGATGTGTGTTTTCAGGCCTATCTTCCATCCACGTTCTGGCTGACCATTCTCGATGCGTTTTACCAAAGCATAGTGTGTTTCTTCATACCTTACTCTGTAAGTCATTCATTCAGATACTTCACTTTACTGAGTATTCTTCATTTGAACCGTGTTTTTTTGCATTGTTCCCAAATGACACTTGAGATCTTGGCTGTGCCCAAAAACAAAAAGTGTGGAACGTTTCTTAAATGCACATTTAAATAGAACCCCATATAACCCAATGTTACAAATTGAATGTTTAAAATATAATTAATCATTTAGATGTCTAAAAGATTCAATACAATTCAAATATACTTTTCAGAGCAGTGCTCACATATAATAATTCATATTGTTTTTGTATGCTATGAAGGCGTATGCAGGGTCTGATATTGGGGTATTTTCCTTTGGCTCTCCAATCAATGGCTCCGCTCTCCTCATTATCCTCCTGCATCAAGTCATAGAGAGTCGCACAGTGGTAAGCCAATCACAGCTGTTCAATGCAAATTTATCATCTATAATGCAGTGCAATTTAAAAAGTAAATCTTTAGAATAGTTATTGCATTCCATGCCACACTGTGTCCTCACCAAGCATTACAAAATCTACACTACCAGTCAAAGGTTTGGAATAATTAAGACTTTTTTAATGTTTTTGAAAGAAGTGTCTTTCCCAAAGGATTAATTTATTAAGCAGCACAACAGTTTTTAACATTGATAATAATAAGAAATGTTTCTTGAGCAGCAAATCAGCATATTAGAATGATTTCTGAAGGATCATGTGACACTGAGGACTGGAGTAATGATGCTGAAAATTCAGCTTTGCCATCACAGGTATAAATAGAAAACGGTTATTGTATATTGTTTTTTTTAAACTTTATTTTCGATTAAATAAATGCAGCCTGGGTGAGCATAAAAGACTTCTTTCAAAACCAGTTAAAAACTTCAAACTTTTGACCGGTAGTGTAAATCTGAAGTATTTGTCCCACCCCCCACGTGAAATGTTATTGGTCCAAAATACAGCTCCACATAATTGTACAGTAATGATCAAATATCTCTTTAAGCATTATCTCAAATCATTCAGCACCTTCTCATTCAGCATGCACAGAGAAATTGCATGTTGCATAAAGCACCACAGTAACAACGCAGCACTGAGTTATTCTTGTAACAAAATTTGCATACCATAGCACTATCATTAATGTCTTTATTTATGGAAGACTGGCTCTGTATCTTTTGCTAATGCTGGTCTTGTGTGTTTTTTCTTTTTTTGTGCAGACGTGGATACACGCTGCATTGCTGCTCTTCAGTGTCCTGTTCTATTATGCCTTTACCCTGTTGTTCAGCATTACGTGTGTGACATGCAATTCTCCTACAAACCCCTACGGCATTGAGACAAAAATGATGTCTGAGCCGCTCTACTATTTAGTATGTGGACTAACAACAGTCCTGGCCCTGCTACCCAGGTATTACACACACATACCTGAATTAGCTCATTCACATACCAGTCTCAATAACAAACTGTAGGCCTAATACTGTTTAAAACCCCAGTTACCTGACTACCAAGATTTTATGTTAAAGGCTTAAATACACTACATGACTTAAAACATTAAAACACTAGGCATCACACACTTGCAGGCTTTTTAAATGGTTACAGAAAAACTTGGCATTATACAGGGTTTCCCAAATGGGGTTCTTTATTTACACATTCGCATAATTTTGTGGGCAGAAGTTTACAGCATTTCAGCAGTATTCCACCAAAATAACAGGTTAAGGACTTGAATTGTTAAAAGTGAATAATTTAAGACACAAATATTAGTATTGTAACTTGTGGTATAAAATAAATTAATTATTATTATGAAATGTTAATTTTTTTTATTTCAAAGGATAATGGTGATGATTTTACAATAGTAAATTCTGTCTTAATTAGTTAAAACTAATAATAATTAATTATTATTTTATTTAATTTGCTTGGGTTCCTTAAACACTAGTATAATTGTAATGTGAATCACAAATATAAATACTAAAAAAGAGGTTTGAGTCCACTTTAAAGTCCAGGTTCAAAGTACATTTTTTTAACAAAATTTATCCATTTACCATTAACCAACATCAGAGAACCATGAACATGCAAATGTGTTGAAAATAAAAGACCCATTAACACTAAATCACGCAGAAACATGCGCCTCGTTCTAGGAGCCGCATGACAAATGAAAGCAATGTGTTCTAAAATCGGCTCAAAATATCAAACAGGTTTGATCTCCTCCGACTGGATAGAATCAAAGTCTGAAGCTACAAATCGGAGTCTGTGCCCTTTATACACTGAGATTTTTCAGCTAAATCTGTCAAATCTGAACGCTCCCAAAATCTGCTGACTGTCTCTGACTTTCGGCAACTAGCATCGAAACTAGCAATTCGGGGCAAAAGTCAAGTAGAGTATTTATACACTTCTAACAAAAAGAATAATTCTGCGATGCCTAGTTTTTTCCTATTTATGTGGGAAAGAAATCTATTTCTTTTTCACAGAGAAGGCCTAAACATGCACGCTTAAAATTGTATAGTGTGATGAGAGCTGAAAAAGCAGTATTAATGACACCATTATTTGAGAAATGTTATTTAAATGTAATCTTGACATACAAGTTTTCAGTCTTTCCCCATTCAACTTGATAATATCTGTACTTGTATGACTCTTAACTGCATAGAAAATAGTTGCCCGTTGAATTGTCTTTCCTTAAGACTTTGGACAAACTTTATTGGAATCAGTCACTTATGTTTTCATCTTGTCTTAAAGGGTTAGTTCACCCAAAAATGAAAATTATGTCATTAATGACTCGCCCTCATGTCGTTCCAAGCCCGTAAGACCCCCGTTCATCTTCGGAACACAGTTTAAGATATTTTAGATTTAGTCCGAGAGCTTTTTGTCCCCCCATTGAAAATGTATACATGGTATACTGTCCTTGTTCAGAAAGGAAATAAAGACATCATCAAAGTAGTCCATGTGACATCAGTGGGTTAGTTAGAATGTTTTGAAGCATCGAAAATACATTTTGGTCCAAAAATAACAAAAACTACGACTTTATTCAGCATTGTATTGTCTTCCGGTTCTGTTGTCAATCCGCGTTCACGAGTCCGCAGTGTCACGAGTTACGCTGATGACGTAAGACGCTGCTGACGTGTTCTGGTGCATCTGTGTATTTGTGTTCAAATAAATATGGCTGGACAAAAAAATGCAAGTCTTCCTCCGTGTCGAAATCCTTAGACATGTTTGCGAAGATTGTTTTGTTTACAGCGTGCGTCTCCCTCAGACTGTAAACGAAGCTGTGATAACACGTCAGCAGCGTCTTACGTCAGCAGCGTCACTGAGCGCGGCTTCACAACAGAACCGGAAGAGAATACAATGCTGAATAAAGTCGTAGTTTTTGTTATTTTTGGACCAAAATGTATTTTCGATGCTTCAAAACATTCTAACTAACCCACTGATGTCGCATGGACTACTTTGATGATGTTTTTCTAACCTTTCTGGACAAGGACAGTATACCGTGTATACATTTTCAATGGAGGGACAGAAAACTCTCGGACTAAATCTAAAATATCTTAAACTGTGTTCCGAAGATGAACGGGGGTCTTACGGGCTTGGAACGACATGAGGGCGAGTCATTAATGACATAATTTTCATTTTTGGGTGAACTAACCCTTTAAAGGCAGCTCATGATGGTACAGTATATTTCACTGTTGTCTTTTCATCTCTTTCTGTGTCTCAGGATCCTGTTTCGTGCCTTTTGTAACACTATCTTTCCATCTGACCTGGTGAGAGCACAGAAAATGGAGAGACTCTCGGCACAAGACTATTCCTCTTTACAGAAGTGGAGGGAGAACAAATCCGCTCAAAAACACGTCCCTCAAAACCTCAGTGTGAATGCTGACATGCCCCATTTAACAGATTGTATCGCTGAACCAGGCGCTGTTCTCTCATGACCAATAACAAAGACCCTTTTGGTCATATAAACATGGTCATTAGCTCAAATAGTGACCGTATGTGATCGGTACTTTACTGCACTTTAGTGATCGGTAGATACTCTAACCAGTCAGAATTCAGAGCTGGCTTTTCTTTGGCCAATGAGAGTGTTTTTACTGTGATGTGCCTTGGCTCTCACACCCTCTGCCGGTGGAGCTTACAGATGAACTGCATCGCAAACTCATTCCTGTCCAGTGACCGCAGAGTGGACTTGGAGTCTGGCTTTTGTAGGCTAAAGATATGCAGATGACTGTTTACGTTTCACACGGCTGGACCTGTGACGTTTTTATTCACACATGCACTCCAGCCTCACACAAGAACCTCAAGAGTTGTGAGGATGAATTGTGGGTCAGGATGTGGCTAGTGTATGGCAAGAAACAGTGGCTACTTTGCTCCTACTTTAATGCAATACTCCATTTTTGGTTATTGAGGCTAAAATATTCATGAGCTTGCACACTAAACATTAACATATACTACACATAAACTCACAATTTCCCACACAGTCGTTTTTTCAGATTTTATATTCTAGCAAAATGTAAAATGACCATCTTCCTCTGGTTGAAACTAGGAATGATTGAATAAAGATGTTTTGTTTTTTTCAGTAATTGGGAAAAACATTACACTTTTTAGATATCAGATCATGGAGAAGTTTGATACCATGAGGATGTTACATTAAAGACATTCATTGAATTTTCCCTGCTCAGGAATAAAATGAGGTGAAATTAAACATGAGCTAATGTATTTTTGACCCAAGGTCCTTGATGTTCATTTGTGTTTTTATTCTGATATCGAACACGCCTACTGCATGCATTACAAATTACAAAAAATACATGTCCAGTATTTCATGATAAAGGCTAGATTGCTTTTTGTACTTAAATGCAATTTTATTTTTATTGCAAAAAGTGAATGCTTAGAATGTGAATCGATAATCCAGAATGATCAGCTTAGATGATTTTGAGTCATTGACTTGAAAACATTATTGAAAGTCATCTTGTAAGCCCTATGTAATATTTGTAAAACTTGCAATAAAACATTCAAAACCTAAAAACTCGACTAGTGCATGAATATGAACATACTCACAACCGATAGCCTATGTGTTATTGTAAAGCACTTGTTTTGAGAGATAAGAATTGGCTTTAAAATCAGGGATGCCAACTTTTAAATTTAGCTCGGAGTGAAAAAAAATACACACAAAAACCCTGCATTACAATAAATGTATTGTGATTGTTAAAGTGATTGGAGTCTTTGCTCTGTAATTTTTCACTCTTTTTTACTTCAGACCAAACATAGCCTACTGTTTTTGTGACCTCAGTTTAATCACTGAAACATAATTGTATGATTCAAAACATCCAAAACAACTTACAGTGTTACAATGTCTTCAAAATATAACCTATAACTGCTGGAATTACAGCATTGTAGTGTTAGACAGAATTGCATTTGGTCTTCTTTCTAAAATTGATTTGCAGTCTTAATTGTGACTGGTCTTCTTTATTGCATCTAATTTGCACCTTTACACTGCAAATACATAAATATATTTGAAAAAAATATAAAAGAATTTATTACTGCTATAAGTGCATTTTTATATATTTTGAATGTTTTCCAAACTCAAGACAGCCAGCCATTTTTGTGGGCTCATTGCTTTGATTCACTCATGAATAACAGTCTTTCACAAGTGATGACGTGACTGATTTCCACACCAATGACTGAATGCCACAGTAATGGCCACATAAAGTGAAAGGTTTCTTATTGAATAGGACAGACACCTCATGACAAGACAAAACATATCTTTAAAGATGAAATCAGATAGCAGAAATAGTGTGAAGTACTGTTTTTTTTTGTTTGTTTGTTTAAGATTTTTTTGTTCTCCTGCACTTTTTTCCAAGATTTCCATCAAATTGAATTGAATAATCCTTACATATTATTCATAATATTATGAATTAAGAATTGTAAAAGAGTAAAAAAAAATAGAGCATCTGTTTAAAAAAAGTAGATTATACATTTCAACTATAAAGTAATCAATAAATGTCAATTTATTCAATGAATTTGAATATAATTACTAAAGGTTAAAGGTGAATGAATCCTGAATCCCACTTTATCTAACACATTTAGCCAAAGTAGGCCACCAATATTTAAACACCTTACAAGAAAAAAAAAAAATGTAAACACTTTATTCTCCTGCATTTCATTTCCTGTTAACTGTAGTAACAAACGAAACAGGAACTGTCACAATAATATTTGTTTACAATTAGTGAGCAAGTGCGACCATCATTTCGAAAATAAAATCTTATGTCAGAGGGTTTTCTACCTTTAACCATCAATGTGTCCTCCTTTGAGGTGTGGGCTGGGCCAACACGATTTCATGAAAGTGCGTATCTATATTCTACAGCACGAATTTAATTTCTCGTAGCCTACCATTTATAAATGATACTCACTGTAAACCCCTTGGGTAGGATTAGGGGTGTGGAGTGCGTGTGTATTACACGCCATAATGTGCGTATCATAGGCACGCAAAAACAATTTTTGGCGTATAAATGGTACGATAAAATGTCATATTGCATAAACTATTTCATAATTTAATGAAATAGTGTCTCTATTAGAGACCAGTGTCGTGCTCTGGATGTGTAAACCCATTGATCACAGTAGCCTACTATAAACGGCCCACTTTACCTGCATTCACCCTACCTAATTTAATTATATTAATTGTCGAGGGAGTTTTGTCGCTATAAGTTTTGCCTCGTCGCTCGCGTCTACATGGTAGAAATGTGGCCAGTCGAATATGAGAACAAGTGCACACTAGCACATGGTTCTACATTTTGGCATTGATTTAATTGGTGGGCGGATCTACTCGGCGACGACTTCCCTGCGTCTGTGGCTTTCGATTCTAGCGCAAGAGCAGCTCTACGTGAGAAACTGTTACTTCGAGTTGAACTGAGATTATTTAGTAAATGACTGAGTCTCAATGACTGACTGACTGACAGCGACCACACTGAAAATCTGCTTCAGTCACACTCACAGCAGATCATCATCAGACCATGAGTGTCAGTTCAACACGGAGCAGCGGGGAAGAACTCGACGAGCTGGAGTCAGTTAGGTGAGCTCAAACTACTCTGTTTTATGATCTAACGTTACGTGGACTTTTCTAAACGAATACACCACTCATGAAATAACTCTATGATAGTAAGCAGTGTAGCAGTACACGATTGAGATCAGTTATGCGCAGTAACATGCACTTCGTTATTTTAACTCCCCTTAATGACGGTTGTACGTATTTGATCCTCAGATCCTTCAGCTAAACTTGTTTCTGTGAAAGTTTCACAGTTTTTCGGGTTATGCTCAAATGTGAGAATAAAAAATAAAAAAGGGAAGAGCAATAAAAACAAGTATATAACGTAAACCAGCAAACTATTGTACGTTGTTTATTTGATTTGTACAACTGTTTGTTGTCGAGGTAAGTTAAGCTGCGTTAGCGAATGAACGAGGAAATACTTCTCTAATTTTACTTCTTTAGTGTATGAAAAGGTAGCAGAAACCTATTACCTCATTGACTGTCTGTTATATAATTTGACCTATTTTTATGAAGTTTTTTTCTTGTTAACGACAATATAGCAAAACAAATGTAAATTTTATTCAGTGTACATTTTAATTTCACATGATTAATCAAAGGCTTTTTTCAAATCCCACAAAGGCCAACATGTCATTTTTATATTTAACCCCTATTTTAGGACCATTAAGTTTATTTATTTTTTTATTCATTATTATTAATATTTGCTTTGGGACATTATTTTTATGACAAGAAACACATTCACCACCAATTCTAATTACAATTTTAGTCAAGTCATTTAATTAACTATCATTAAATTGCTAATTGTAATTTAATCTAATGGCTCATTAGATTCAAATCAACCCGTCCCTACATTTTTATATTTTTATGCAAAAGTTTCAGAACCAGCACATCTGGAACAATAGCAAATATGTCAGTGGATGTTCACAGTTGATATTCGACATCACCATACAACATGGCTTTGTGTTTAAGTGCCCCAATTTGTTTCTCTCTGTAGCTGGTATCATTATGATTTGTCCCGGCATGCAGCTGAAGCCCTTCTCCTTTCGAATGGGGTAGATGGGAATTTTTTACTCCGAAACAGCAACAAGGGTCCTGACTGCTTTGCTTTGTCTGTCCGGTAAGAAATATCCATTTGGGACAAAAATTCTGAGGTACTTGCAGTCGACATACTGCAGATTATGCAAGTTGGATATTTTCCTTGTGTGCTAACTCCAATTTATAGGGAAATCTAAAAGCTACCTAAAATGAACCTCGATTGTGTGTAAGTGCTGCTTAATAATTTTGATGTTTTTTTGAGGATTCTTTGATCAATTGAAAGCAATTGAAACAGCATTTATTTAAAATAGAAATAGAACCACCTTGCTGAATAAAAGTACTAATTTCTTTAAAGCTGCAGTCCGTAGTTTTTTCTGTTTGTCGCCATCTCTGTTCAAAATCTGCAATTGCAGTTATTTGTGAAATTCTCAACTTTATGTGGGTTGTGCCTCGGCACAGCGCGGATGATTCCAGTGTTTTGAGGAGAATGTGCGGCTGTGCGACATTTTCGTCAACGAATAAAAACTAGATAAATCTTAGATACTGACGATTTGGGAAGTGATCCAGTCAGAATACTGATGTCCTGCGTTTGTGGTAGATGCGCACATTTGTACTGTAACGTGCTGATCTACCCAGCGGCACACGGGTTGGCATGCGCTGCATCTCATAAAACGTTAACAAATGTAAACGTCTGGGAGAATTAGTAGAGCAGACATATAGATCTGAATAAGAGTGACGACGCAAAAAAAAGAGCTCTATTCGGTTTTCTGTGCGTGCACACCCAACCCGACAGATAGACACATATAAAGCGTGCGAGGACTTAATTAAGCGCTCTTTCGAGTCTGAATGGACAAATACACAAAATGATGTCGAAATGTCCGTTTTGGAGAGTATTCAGGTAAACTATGTTGGTTATGTCTTAAACAGTTTTGAGTGTATCGGATGTGCATCAGTGCAATTGGATCCGCATGTCATTGGACATGATCCGATGTCTTAAAGTGACAGTGGGTAATAAACCTAATGTGGTCTGTATCATCAAGAAACAAAAGAAAAAGAAAATAGCATTCACTGCTCGTTAATAGCTTTAATAAGGATTCATTATATTTAATTCATACAAATAAATATGTCTGCTGCTTGAAAGAATAAAGAATGATGTATGCAAGTTGTAAAGAATGCATATATCATTCATTGAAAAGAAGACTATTCTACTTTAGGAAAAGTGGTTTTATTTCATTTTAAGTTATTTTTAAGTCACAGTAGTTAAATCTGTATCTGTATTGCATGTTCAAACTTTAAAATCATTCATATTAACTGGTTAATAGATGTTTTCTCCGGAAGTATAATTATGGGTTTGGACATTTTAGATAAATTCTAAATTAATGCATTACAATTGAACTAAACCCATTATATTTTAGTCATCTGAATTGTTTTAGTTTTAGTCGACGAAATACAATAAGATTTTAGTCGACTAAATCTACAGTAGATACTAATACTAGTAAATACTAATACACTCATTTAAACTAGTTTCTCCTCCATGTTGTGGAAAGAGCCTCTGCAGTGGAAAGATGCAGATGTCCAGTGCACAGGTGTGCCAATGTGCTCCAGCCTCCTCCTGAGAGCAACACGGCCCCCTTGTTCTGTTTTATAAAGTGATTGTAAAGTGTGATTTATACTTCTGCATCAAATCGACGGTTTCACACCATAGTTGAACACAAAGAGAAGGAGCACACACGTAGTGTATTTAATAAATAGTTTGTTAAACTCTGTTACTTGAAAAATTTTCACTGCGCTCAAATTTCTTTGTGTGCTCCTACTTTTTAGCACATGTGCTCCTTGGGAAAAACCATAGCGTAGAACCCTGGGACTGGAGCTTTAAGAATCTTACTGACACTACACTTTTAAATAATAAGGTATAATATAATCTCAAATAAACGTATCTGACCTTCGTTCTGTGCAGCAGTAGACACTCACCTTTTCTAAAATGAGTTGCAATCCTCTGCCCTTTTATTACTCAAACAATTTAAAAAGTCAAATGATGACCCAACATGACTTTTTGCTAGTCCCCTTATTTTTCCATTTCTCTTATTTTCTGTGGGTATTCAGTTTACTTAAAGTTTTTCAGTTCCTTTTTCTTTTTTTCAAAGTGTCAGTTGTGAACCACCGTAGTCTTGTGTCTTGCAAAATAAAGGTGCTTACTCTCATTTGAATAATATAAATAAAAAACGTATTCACACAAGCCACGAGGCAGTACCCTGCTCACATCACTGTGACAGACTGATATGTATAAATGCGTTTAATTCTGAGGTTAACTGACTCTTCGTTTATAGTGTGTGACTTTGTAGAAATAATACTCAGCCTATTTCAGTGTGACTAGGTGTGAAATTGCTTTTATACCCCATAAACAAGTTAAAATCAAGTAATATTGAGAATTCAATGACAGTATGGCAGCATTTACTCACTCTCTTTTCCATCAACACTTCTTTAGAGCAAAGGATTCAGTGAAACACTTTCATGTCCGGCGGCAGTTTGGCAGATATTCCTTTGGCTTCAATGAATTCCCTTCCCTTCAGGATTTTTGCAGTCACTTTGCCAATCAGCCTCTGCTAGGCAGCGAGACAGGTTAGCTGTTTGCCTTTAATTTACAGTTCACAAACTTTTCAGCACTTCTGTGGCACAGTCACCCTGTTTCCTGTTTCACTCTTGTAACCAAGGAAACCTGATAGTGCTACGGTTCCCGTACCCACGGCAGGTGGAAGAGCCATCTATTTATGAGACGGTGTGTGTGCATACGGCCATGCAGACAGGCCGGCATGAAAATGACCTGGTGCCTAATGCTCCAGCAGTAAGTCAAAATGACATTATACAGACACACATGCACACATGTATTGCATCTAAAGTGCCCCTATTATGCTGTTTGGTTCGTGTTGGCGACATGATGAGAAGATGATGTTTTCTGCACTGCGAAAGCAAATCCACTTTGCATGTGTAATCCCTCTGGTCCTTCTCACCCCACTCCGAGCTGGACTCGAACCAGCATCTCCGGCATGGTAGGTGGCGACGTTAACAAGGATGCTAAACACCTCAGTCTCTAGTACGCCTCTTGAGATCAAGGGAGTGAAGTTTACCTGCACAGCTCTCACTAGCTGGCCTCCTTTACACTCAGCCTCCTAAACCTCACTCCCATCTGGGTCACAGCACCAACGTAACCCCTCCAGTTACTGTTTATATCACTGTGTTTAAAAGTGCTAAGGGAAGCCACCGGAGATGAAATTCAGATATGGTAATGGTGTTTCTCAACAGAATGGACAACTGGACCAATCAGAGCAGAGTAGGCTGTTAGAAAGGCGGGGTTTAGAGAGACCGAATCCTTTATGGAACCGTTTCAGGCACTGTGAGAAAGAGGTGATACTGCAATGTATATTATCAGGAAATTAAAGGTGATTTTGACCTTGGATGCATGTCAGCCTATTGTAGGAGACATCCAAAACAAAATTAGGATCATTTAAAACAGCATAATAGGGGCACTTTAAAAGAGTTAAATGGCTGTTAGCATTTAGAATTAAAAATCCATACATACATGCAGTGAGTGGAATTTATCTGTGTCTTAATTGTATTGTCTGTGCTTCTGAATCATTGAAAGTCTTTTCATGTTGTTAACAGCTTGGCACAAAAGAGGGTTATCTGGTTAAACAAGGATCGCTTATCAAGGTATGGTTACACAATTTACTATATACACACACACTTCATGTTAAAAACTTAAACCAATGTTTACAGTAAAACTAATCGGGTCAATTGTGAATGGGTTAAACTGGTTCTAGAGAAAACCTAGACCTAGTTCTTTTGGCTGATGGGATTCTTCTTTATTTATTTTCTGGGCAGAACTGGAAACAGAGATGGTTCACACTGAATAGATATGAACTCAAATATTTCAAGGACAAAATGGTAGGTTCATGTATTTTGTTCAATAAGATTTAGAATTAGATAACCATTAAAGTTGATTATTTATCTCTCATAAAACTGTCCCCTCAGTTTGTAGAGCCGATACGAACCCTGAATCTGACGGAGTGCTCGGCTGTACAGTTTGATTACAGTCAGGAGAGGGTCAACTGCTTCTGGTGAGAAATTTATGATATGACTGCACTATCTGATTTCCTTTTTTTTTCTCTCTTGGGTGTCAGGGATAGGCAAAATTCAGAAAATATTGGCTTCCCTTTTGTTTAGTAGAGAATATATCATTTGATACCATTTGGTGACATATTCTGAAAAAAAAAAAAAGTTAATAGAATCCAAAACTCATTTATAAACATTTATAAAAAGGGATATGCACATATGTTTTCTTGAAGTTTGAATTCACTTACAGAAAAAATGAATTACAGTTCTACATCCTGCTACATTCTACATTCATTCAAATTAAGGATTTGTAATTTAAAAGGCTTTCTCGGTTCAAGTCTGAATGGTGCACAGCCATGAGTTTATGTGACAAGGGCGGCTACAATTAATGAATGATCTTTACACAGTTATTGAACTGAACTGAGCTGAATAATGTCATTATTACCTTGTTACATCTGCTTTACAGCAGAATTTGAATCACTTATTTGATAAAGTATGCATCATAATTCTGTTACTTTCCTGTTTATTATTGTGAAACTGCTTTGAAACCACCAGCTGATATTCCCCATCACATCAGAAAAATACCATCCATCACATATTTCAAAAAGGCATACAAACTGTTTCTTCTAAATAGTTACACTTGTACTCACTGATTGTTTATTTATTGTCTGAGTCCTGTTTGCACTGTTTGTATTGTTGTTTTTAGTCATTTTTATCTGTCAAGCCCATGATAATGTCCTGTAAATTGTGTCGTAAATTGTGTTTTATGGTCTGCAGAACAGGAACCTGCTGGAAACCAGTTTTTAAACTGAGTCAGGCCCGTTTAAATCGTACCTTAATGTTACTTTTAACCTTTCCTGTATAATAAATTAAATGAAACAATCTTGTATAAAGCGCTATAAAAAAAATAAAGGTGAAAAAATATGACTTGATAAAAAAAAAGTGTTAGTTTAACCATAAAGGCTTCAGGGAAATAAAGAGAGATGCCCAAAATGTTGATGCTAATGGTAGACTGTTCATTTTCTTACAAAAGCAAAGTTTCTGAAGAAAAAATAAGGCTTTTTCTACTGTGCTAGACTAGATGTCCTGTTTGTTTTTACATCTGAAACTTCTGCAATTGGCCAACCATAACATTTCTGGCTATTTTTGACAACTGAAAATGAGCTAGTATATCTGCAGTATTACAGTTCCTGCGCTCACTAAATCAGCATTAGAGAGAATCTGCATGACAAAACTCACACTGTCTGTGTACAGACTAAGATATAACGATAGGTTAAAAGGTAATTACAATTTCATATCAAAATCCAAAAATTGTGCGTTCAATATCTATTGCATATAATATTTTCCTTCATGTAAGTGAAGCTCAGTAATGAGGAAGTGCAGTCAGACACTCCTATACATGGACTTCCTCCTGCCCACATATTTTCCGATGTATGCTCAATTTCAGTCTTTTACTTCACTATGCAACTCTTTATTAATATTCTTCTACTTTCATTTTTCTCTCTCTTTCCTATAGTCTGGTGTTCCCCGAGAGGACGTTTTATTTGTGTGCAAAATCCGGTGCTGAAGCAGACGAATGGATTAAGTTACTACGATGGAAACTGGTAAGCAGAAGCTAAAATATTAACCATGAAAGAACAGTCACTATGAATAATCAATTGTACGTAATGGTTTAACAGTATAAATAGTCAATTATTTCTTTGTTCCAGTGGAAATTAACCAGACCAGTCTAATCATAGATGTATTTGTCTTTTTGTTGTCCTTATCTCTAATGATGACTACCCTGCATTTCTAGTCACAGGTAAAGAAAGGTCGATGATGTTCAACATGGAGAAGTAGCACTGGAGCGATGTGAGCTGTGTCCAGTTTTATGTTAGTAATTACACAGGATTCATTAGCTTCATCTGATTTGGCATTATGGTAGATATCGCATGAAGATATAATCTGGCCACTGAATCACACATGCAAGATTTTCCATCTAGATCAAGCGAAGTCCCAAGGGACAATGCTATCATGTTTTAAAAAGAGTCTGGAGGTGGTGCATTACCAATGTTTTTTTATTTTTTATATTGTGTTCTGTGTGGAACTTTCAGGTTTTCTTATTCTTCTCCAAGCCAAGCTATACTTGCTGAATGTTCCTTAAAACGGTGTGTCTGCTCCCAGACATGTACAATACCCCCTTATATGCATGGCTGTGACTATGAAGAAGTAAACATGTAAAATGTAATGAAGTTTGTGCATTGAAAGACCTTTGGATGTAAGATACTTTATTTCCAGAATCGAGAGCTCCAGTGATGTATGTTGTAGGCTAACCTGGATGTTAGCGTCACCCTTATTCCCTCCACAAAACCCCAATAGGATTTTACATTGACTTTTGGTTTATTGCTAAAAGCAGGCTATATCTTAACTACAAATTCAACATCACCATCACTAAGTTTGAGTTAGAATAGTTGACGATTTAAAATGCAACAAGGCTATGAAAGCAAACTAGTAAATATGAGTTTTCCTATTCAGTGCGAGACCATCGTTTGTGGTCGAAACGTTGCAATTTATTAAACTTCTTTGGGACAGAAATAGTGCGCCAGTTCTTTTGCATTTCAGCTCAGTTTTCTTTTGATTGAGCACCTGCTGAAGTGATGTTTGGATGTGCGCATATACTACTCTGAATTCATGATGTTTAATGTCCTCAACAATCTGTAGTCCCACTCAACCATTTGTTAGCAACTGCTTTTTTCAAGACTAGTAAAAGCTTTTTTTAAAAATCAAAAGAGGGTATTACTGATATATTTTGTGTCAATGAATAAAACATAAATATCTTACACTTGTGTTAATCACAGAACTCAGGTATTTGGTCTACAAAAATGCATTATCCATACAGCACTCTAGACCAAAATAAAAGGTATAAAATTATAATTTCTCCTAATAGCAATGCTACTTCTAATGTGATGTGTGAACTGACAATGAACTCGTACTTGTACCAATTTTCCTACGGAGAAGCCCCTTCTGTAAAAATGTCAATAAATAAAATTTATTTTTGTAAACCAAAGCTTTAGACAAATTTATTAATTAGGAGGAGACAAAAAGGAGCAGGTTACATTCATAAAAGACATACAGCATCAAGACCAGGCAACATTATATTATGTACATATGTGTGTGTGTGTGTGTATGAGCTAGAACATCAAGACATCAGACTCGATGGGCGATCTTGACTCTCTTGTCCAAATGTCTGATTCCTGTAGGTACTGAGATGAATAGCAACTAAGCTACTTCCACCACCTGTCTTAGTTCTTCAATCAGAGGGACTAGCTCCTTCTCAAGACTGAAGATCAAACCTAAATATGAAAGAAAAAATCAGGGAAATGAATCATTGAACTGTTATTGTCATGAGCATCCAACCGAAGAGGCTCTGTGGCTTTTGTCCTATTGGAGAGACTCACCTGTGTTGGCATTACTACTTGCGATGAAACTTATCACTAAGGGTAATCGGTTGAACTGTACAATCTGCCAAGGAAATAAATAACCGCATATATTACAACAAGAAATGTTTAATGGACACTTTTCACATTACCAAGGTTCTCATAAGTGGAAATAGTTATAGTTGATACAACTTCTAACGAGAGCAACTTCTAACAATATAATATTTTCCCCATATTTCCCATTTTAATATGAAAAAGGTTTCTAGATGTGCAATGATGATAACTGTGAAAACATGTCATTACTGTCTGAAAATGTCCATAAGGAGCAAGTCATATGTGTGTTTAAATATAAATAAAGTACCTGGTATGTGTTATAGTAACAAATGATGCTCTTATTTTTGGACAAGCCGAGCTTGCTGCCCTGGTCAGTTGCCAAGGCAAAGGTGGACAGGAACGCTGGCCGCAGTGCATAGTCAGGGGCATTGTCATTGGCAACTAAAGGAGAAAACAAGTAAAATCTCAGATGGAGCTTAAGCAGACATGAAACTCAGAGCTGAGCTGTTACCTTTGATTACAGGGACTCCATCTCTATCTGTCACCACTATTGCATGGAGTCCTTCAACACTGATGATGGCAGAGAAAAGTAATCATTCATTACAACTCAGAATGCATAATGAAGTACAAAACTTGTCTAAAATACAAGATTAATCCGTTTACCTTGGCAGTTGTTTATACAAATAACTCCTCAGATTCTGTAACAATTAAATCAAACGCATTATGACATTTCTAAGAAAAGTTGCTTCAGCAAATGCATTACAAACATACTCACATCTGCCATATTCATTAGATTGACTATGTAACGCCCCTGCTGCACTCTGTAGCAAAAAGATTAAAGGACGACGTGGAAGTTACACGAAATTTTGACAGTATCTTGTGGGCATTTCATTGTCGTCAGCAATTTCTAACTAAACACAAACATTTATATATATACAGTAATTATAAATGGAGGAAAGATATATTAAAGGCATAAGACGCAAAATGTAATAGTATTACCTTCAATTCAAGCCAGTTTTATAAAAAGTTCGTCACTTGTTTATGTGCGATCATCACATGACAGAAAACACAAGGTTTTCCGTGTACGTAATATCCGTTAAAACGTCACGTATACGGAGAGTGCGTGTGCACCACGAGGCCATCTAGTGGTGGCTGTTGGTTTTGATGTTAGTAGAGTGTTTGTCTTCATCCCTTTATGTATACTGTCAAATGATTAGTTCAAATTAAAGGAGCCTAAGTGAAAGTGTATAAGTCCCCCCCCCCCCCAAAATCGTTTGGCCTTGGATTTTATTTCAAAATTAATCAAATTCTATTCTATTATGAATATGAATGTAAAAAAGAAAAAAAACTTTCATTATGGTGTGACTTAGGCCCACAGGTCTTTGTGGAATGTTTGCTGAGAAATACTTTTCTTAAAAATAAAGATTCTTTAATGGCATCAATGGCCCCACGAATAACCTTTCGAATAACCCCACGAACTAAAAAACAAAACAAAACAAAAAACAGGGTTGTTTAGATAGGCTAATTAAAATGTTCTGCACACTAAGAAAAATGGTTCTTTCAAGACCTTTTCATTAAAAGATTCTTTATAGTCCAGGCAACATAACTCATTTTGGAGCCAAAAATAGAACTAATTGTACATTTTTAATTTTTTTTTTTTTCAGCATAGACCTATACACCTATGAGGTGCCCAGAAGAACATACTAAAAGTCCTAAAAATCCTAGTTGAGGAAATTAATTCTCATCAATCCAAGATGTGTGCCAGTAAGGACAACAATACACCCCAATGGGGATATTTTTTCCCCTTTACTCCAATCAAAATAAAACGTTATACAATGAAAGTATCCATGAAAAGTAAAACATTTTGTATTACAAGTTTCTTTGAAAATGAATTTTAATATGCAAATGAGGCAGCTATACACTAATCGAATATGCCCAAAATAAACCCAAATAGGCTTAATTTTTTTCTTTACCCTACCACAATAGAACTTGACATAGTAAAAGTATACATGAAAAGTAAAACATTTTGTATTAGAAGTTTCTTTGAAAATTAATTTGAATATGCAAATGAACAATAATGGAATATGCCCAAATGGGCTTATTTTTCCTTCAGTCCTATTTCAATCAAACCTCACACAGTGAAAGTATACATGAAAAGTAACATTTTTGTTTTACAAGTTAGTATCTTGTAAAAACAAAAATGTATGTAGTTAGTTTCTTGGTTACATGATCTATTTAAAATATGCAAATGAGCTCAACACAGGCCTAATTGACTTATGGCCAAGAATAACTAACACATTCATGTCATTGTGGTAGGAGTAAAGGAAAAAAATACGCCTATTTGGGTGTATTTTGGGCATATTCGATTAGTGTATAGCTTATTTGCAAATTAAAATTCATTTTCAAAGAAACTTGCAATACAATTTTTTTTACTTTTCATGGGTACTTTCATTGTGTAAAGTTTCATTTTGATTGGTGTAAAGGAAAAAAACAGCCCCATTGGGGTGTATTGTTGCCTGGCCTTATTGACAATCTCGGATTGATGAGAATTAACATATTTTCTCAACTAGGATTTCTTAGGACTTTTAGTATGTTGTTCTGGACACCTCGTAGAAATGATCTAAGCTGTAAAAAATTATTTTACAATGAGTCTGTCGTAAAACGCTTTGCCTGGACTATTAGGGAACCCATAAGGTTACGGCATTGCTGTGGGGGGGGGGGGGGGGGGGGACCTTTTGAAACCTTTATTATTTAGAGTGTTGTATGTCACGTCTGTCATCGTATTTCTACACACACACATACACAGATATACACTCACCGGCCACTTTATTAGGTACACCTGTCCAACTGCTCGTTAACACTTAATTTCTAAGCAGCCAATCACATGGCGGCAACTCAGTGCATTTAGGCATGTAGACATGGTCAAGACAATCTCCTGCAGTTCAAACCGAGCATCAGTATGGGGAAGAAAGGTGATTTGAGTGACTTTGAACGTGGCATGATTGTTGGTGCCAGAAGGGCTGGTCTGAGTATTTCAGAAACTGCTAATCTACTGGGATTTTCACGCACAACCATCTCTAGGGTTTACAGAGAATGGTCCGAAAAAGAAAAAACATCCAGTGAGCGGCAGTTCTGTGGGCGGAAATGCCTTGTTGATGCCAGAGGTCAGAGGAGAATGGCCAGACTGGTTCGAGCTGATAGAAGGGCAACAGTGACTGAAATAACCACTCGTTACAACCGAGGTATGCAGCAAAGCATTTGTGAAGCCACAACACGCACAACCTTGAGGCGGATGGGCTACAACAGCAGAAGACTCCACCGGGTACCACTCATCTCCACTACAAATAGGAAAAAGAGGCTACAATTTGCAAGAGCTCACCAAAATTGAACAGTTGAAGACTGGAAAAATGTTGCCTGGTCTGATGAGTCTCGATTTCTGTTGAGACATTCAGATGTTAGAGTCAGAATTTGGCGTAAACAGAATGAGAACATGGAACCATCATGCCTTGTTACCACTGTGCAGGCTGGTGGTGGTGGTGTAATGGTGTGGGGGATGTTTTCCTGGCACACTTTAGGCCCCTTAGTGCCAATTGGGCATCGTTTAAATGCCACGGCCTACCTGAGCATTGTTTCTGACCATGTCCATCCCTTTATGGCCACCATGTACCCATCCTCTGATGGCTACTTCCACCATGTCACAAAGCTCTAATCATTTCAAATTGGTTTCTTGAACATGACAATGAGTTCACTGTACTAAAATGGCCTCCACAGTCACCAGATCTCAACCCAATAGAGCATCTTTGGGATGTGGTGGAACGGGAGATTCGCATCATGGATGTGCAGCCGACAAATCTGCGGCAACTGTGTGATGCCATCATGTCAATATGGACCAAACTCCCTGAGGAATGCTTCCAGCACCTTGTTGAATCTATGCCACGAAGAATTGAGGCAGTTCTGAAGGCAAAAGGGGGTCCAACCCGTTACTAGCATGGGGTACCTAATAAAGTGGCCGGTGAGTGTATATAAATCTGTTATAACAAGGTCCACTTCATCTTAAACAAGCTGTTTAATTCTTGAAATAACAATATGCTGCTACTGCACTTTTGTTGTGTTAATGGTGAATTATGCCAATGACTTGTACTCCACATTCCAATGAAGCTTTTCTATTGCATAGAATGAAAAGCTTTCGTGTGCGGATTAGTACTGAAACAACGGTTTCTTCAGTCCTCACAAACCAAGCAGAAAACATAATTAGAGAACATAATCCAGGCCAATGCTTTTCCAGCCCTTCATTCCCTCAATCACCCCATAACCTTCTACATCTCATAAGCACACACAGTTTTATGATCTCTTTCTAGGTAGTACGGGGGAGTCTGGACTTCAATTTTTTTTTTAAACTGCATGGTTTTGTTTAAACAGATGTGAATGTTAGACAGATCTGAAACCTGGTGTATATAACCTATATGATTATGTGTGACGAAGAGATGGCATCTGGATTTCTGAACGCTTCAGCTGAGAACGTTTATGGTGAAAAGAGCGCTTTCTCACAAACAGAACACAATATTGTCGCTACATACCTCATCACAGCAGGTAAATAGCAGTGGTTGTGTGTAGCCTACACCTTTTGTATTTGATGTTAGCAATTAGCTATAAATTAACTGAAACTTTTAAATAACTAATTTAATATTTATCAAGTTCACAATTGAATAGCCTAATTTTTTGAATTGGCATATCTTCTCATTAAGTAAGAGTTTAGTTAGACAAAATGCCAAGAATCTCTTGGTTCTCCTAAACATATGAACAAATAATTGAATAGAACATTTGTTCCAAGTTTGTTATCTGGTTTTTTATAATGTTCTCAAAATGTTAGCATAAAAATGTTAATTTGGCCTAGACCAATCATGGAACTTTTTTCTTTTTTAACATTTTAGTTTGACGGTTCTCTCAAAATTATGAACAAACGTTAACGTTAATAGATCTTTTGTTTAAAGTTATCTGGTCTTTAATGTTCTCAAAAGGATAGCACAAAAACGTTACTTTACGTTGATTACGGAACGTATTTTACGTTTTAGATGGACAAAATTGTCTAATGTTCTGAAAAGGTTCTCTCAAAGTCATGAAAAAAAAACCATTATTCTAGTAGCCTATAACGAAAATAGAACATTCGTCTGATTGCTTAAATTCAGGACAATGTTTTTAAGCATTCCTTGAAACTGACATTTACAGATTCAGCCATCCAGTGTAACCAGCAGGGGTGTGTATAAAATGGGAAACTGAAACTGGGAAATGTTTAGAATGGACATGAAATATGTGTGTGAGACAATGTCTTTGTGTCCACAGATGTCCTAAAGGGATGAACAATTTTGTCATCATTTACTCACCTTCAAGTTGTTTCAAACCTGTATGAGTCTGTTCCAAACCTGTAAAAAGATATTTGGAAGAATGATGGTAAATCAACAGTTGACGGTATATAGCCATTGACTTCCATAGTATTTTTTTTTTGTGGAAGTCAATGGCTACCGTCAACTGTTGATTACCAACATTCTTTGTGTTCAACAGAAGAAAGAAACTCATACAGGTTCGGAACAACACGAGGGATGAGTAAATGATGACAACATTTACATTTTTGGGTAAACTATCCTTTTAACCTCCTGCTCTCCATTTTTGTGTCTTTTTCTATCTCTATCAGGAGTGGTCAGTCTGACTAGTAACATTGTGGTGCTGCTGATGTTTGTGAAGTTCAGAGAGTTGCGTACTGCCACAAATGCTATCATCATTAATCTGGCTTTCACTGACATTGGTGTAGCCGGGATTGGTTACCCCATGTCAGCAGCCTCAGACTTGCACGGGAGCTGGAAATTTGGCTACATGGGCTGCCAGGTGTGCACCTCCTACTTTTTCAACAAACACAGTCATTTTGATTGTATAATTAAGCAAAATTGTGAATATAGTCATAGCTAAGTAGCATTGTTAGGGGACAATGATGAGTAAGAGTGTCCTATAAAGCATGCATGTTCTTGGTAGTTTTGCAACCTGAACTAACCTTGCATTTTATTTAGAATATTTGGGACACACATTTTCATTAAAACA